TATGTTGGAACCAACAGTGAAACGTAGGAGACGCCTATGGCTGGGATGGATAGAAATTTGAAAGGAGGCATCTTTTAAGTCCAGGGATGCGAACCAATCCTCTCTCCTCAGCAACGGAAGGATATTTTGAAGAGTGGTCATCCGAAACTTCTTAGGCTTGATAAACCTATTAATATCCCGTAAGTCCAGGATCAGACGGAGACCACCATCTCGCTTAGGGACAGTAAAATACCTTGAATAGAATCCATAAAGTCCCTTGGAGCATGAGAGCTGTCGGATCACTCCTTTACGAAGCAATTGGATAACTTTGTCTACTAGCACTGGTGAGCGTGGTGTAAATCGGATCGGACCCGATGGAGGAATGATGTCGAATTCTATTCTGTATCTGAGCTGGATGATGGATAAAACCCACCGATCAGATGTGATGGACTCCCAAATGGGGAGTTGGCTTTGCAGTCGATCCCCAAACGGGAGAGGGGAAGATGGGAGCAGGAGGAAAGGAGAGGTTCACCAAATCCGTCAGAGTTGGCGTTTGTCAGAGTCATGGCGACGGCGACCCTGCTGGAACCGCTGTTGCAGAGGTTGTTTTCGATGTTGCTGACGTTGCTGGAATTGTTGCCTCCCTGGGAATTGAGAGTACTGCTGGGGCCGGTATGATGGATGGGACCACGACCACTTATGTCTAGGCTGAGAAGGAAGCTCCATCCGACGCACAGTCATTCTTGACTCGTGTATTGATTTGAGTTTGTGGTCCATCCTTGAGTGGAAGAGGCCGGAACCATCAAACGGCATTTCCTCGATTCGACGTTTCATCTCATCCAGAAAATTGCAGCTCCGCAGCCTGCATGGCGGCAGAGGGAGATGGCACCAACCAGAGCCCTGGAGTCAGAGTCCACATGATGTCTTGCCGTTGACAGTTGCTGGATCGAGACCTGCATGTTTTCCTTGATGAAGACCCTTGCTGGGTCCCTTTGCTGGTTCAGTATCGAAGCGGTGACGTTCTCAAGCTTTCGCATGAGGAAATATTGGTACCAGGCCAACGTTGCCTCATAGTTAGATATGCGGAGCCTGAGTCCAGAGGCTGCGTAGACTCGACATGCCAACATATCTATCTTCCGGTCCTCTTTATCTCAGGGAGCGGTGTGGCCCCACAACTCTCTTCCTTGGGAAGACTTGACGACCACCAAGTTCAGTTTCAGGTGGTGCAGGAGAAATGAAATGTCCTGCTTCCGAATCCAGTACATCGTCTCATACCGCCTCGATGTCAGTTGCGGTTGGGCGGATAGATCCCAAGGCTGCACCATGGCTTGGCGTAGTGTAGTGATTAGCAGCAAGATGATAGCTACCGATTGCTCGCCTCTGACAATGTCATAGAACTTGTCCATGCTGGGATCGATTCGGTGTTGGGCTTCAATCTCCAGTGAATGGACTAGCCTAGCCATCAGTTCCCCGAAGGTGACGTGGAGTTCCTCAGGCGATCCTGGACCCTGAGTGGTGATGGCTACATCAGGGGAAGTCGAATCCACTTCAAAGTCGTTCGATTCGTACCCATACTGCATTGGGCCACTAGAGGATGACTCCCCTGGAGAGGCGAGATGCCCTGACCTTGATGGTCTGAAGGTGAACGGTTCTCCTCTCGGTACCGGGGAGCAAGCCGATGGGTAATATGTGAAGGATGGGTAGTCATCCCAACCTCCACAGTGACTGCTATAGCAGGGTTGGTCCCATTCCTTCAAGGGCTGCTCCAGTGAATGACGTCGGTGCCGAGGCTGGGAAGAGACCAGTCCCGGCTGTGGCATCGGCGTCAAAGAATGTGCCGTCAGAGGTGAATCACAAATCTCGCTGTCAGAGATTGATTCGTGAAGCAGCACCTCAGGTTGCTCGAGAGATGAATGCACCAAGCACATGACCCATCTAGGGGACCCTGGTGGAGTCACCTGCATAGCGGTTTGCAGTGACGGGCCCGTCGGTGTTGGTACTGTTGCGGCCGTCGGGATCAATGGTGCAGACGATCCCAAATCACGGTGCCAACCTTGATCAGGCTTCTTAGGCTTATGGGCCGTCTTATCCAATCTCTCCTTCCTCGGCTTTTTATGGCTGGAGGATTTATCGGAGCCTCCATGCTTCCTTTTCACCTTTTTCTTGTGGGGAGAAGGAGGAGGTTGCTGGACCTCCACAACTGGGGCACCATCAGCCAGTGGGCACGGAGGAGGCGCGGCAGAAGCCGAAGTAGAAGCCAAAGCGGTCTTAGCGGTCAGTTGGTCAGACTGCATAAGGGCCTGGTCCCAAAGCATTTTTCTCAGGTGGTTTTCATGATTCTTCCTCGCCTGCTTCGTGAAGGCCTGACAATGGCCGCACTTATCGGTCCTGTGCCTCTTGCCAAGGCAGAGGAGGCACAGATCATGTGGGTTGGCTGGTGACATCTTTGACCCACATTGGGAACATTTGCAGAAGGCTGTCCGCTGTGCCATCGGAGAAAGAAATAAGAAGATGATAGTGAAGAGGGTAAGATAATATTTTTTGGGTTTTTTTTTTTTTTTTTTTTTTTTTGGAAAAATAGGAGAGTAGGAGAAGAACTCGAACAGGGAGAATAACTTGGAATTTGAATAAAGCACTAACTAGTAACAAGAAAGGTTAACAGTAGAGAGCAATAAGATACGAACGAGAGAGAAAGGCTTGAGGCACAGCGAACGGTGGTCGCAAAAGACTGAGAAAATGGCAGACACTCCGCTCTATTTATAGCAATGAGGGGGAGGGGAGCGGAGTTTTCCCGCCAAAAACCGTTAGCTTTGCAATCTTTCCAGCCTTAGGCACTGCGCAGGCGCAGCACCCATATGTGTGATGCACAGAGGCCACCACGAAGAACTTCCCAAATATAGGCACTGTGCAGGCACAGCACCCTTATGTGTGTTGCACAGAGACCACAAAGAACTGGTACATGCCCCAATGAAGGTGGAAAAGTGGTATTGTTGATGACAAAAAACTGCTGACAAAGGTGGCTGAAGCAAATATATTCTTAAAATAGTAATTAACATAATGTGTAAACCTTAAAGATTCTTAACTGTTGTTCAAAGTTGTTACCTATTCTGTAGTTCTCCTACCAAATTTTCATCAGTCGAGACATAAAATATTCCTTCTGGCTGAAACACAGTAAAAAAGCTACTGTATAACACTGCAACATATAAACATGATCTGAACAAAAGCATTACAATTTTCTGATACTGAAATTTTCCAATTAATTACAAAATGCATCTTCATTAATTTTCATTAAGATGTGTGTAAAATGGATTCCATGAGGGTATTTTTGGCACCTATTAGCTATTGCTTGTGCTTGAATTGTGATGGGCAATGATAAACTGTGCAGAAGATTGCTAATACTGATGGAGCGATTAGCAAGATTATGGATAACATGGCTATGGATTTCTCCACTAACTGTGCCTCTCTTTTCTGTTTACTCCTTGTAAGGAATTTTTACATTGGGCTGTGGGCCCAGCTCAGCAATCTGTATGTAGTTTTTCTCTGGAACTGAAGAACACATTTATCCATCCATATGTATACAGAGAAAGAATCTCTACTTGTTCAGCTTTCTAACTCCTGTCATCTGTCAGCATTGGCTATGTTGCCCAGGACAGAAGGGAGCTGTAGGCTTAAAAGTGTGAAAGGCCTCACAATGTCCTCCCCTGACCTAGATACATATAATAGTAAACTCAGCTTCTATTCTACAAGCATGGATTCATGTTCCTGGCTGCCAGTCCTGAGGTGAATTTGGTAATACCAGAACAGATCTTCAAACATTCTATCCTATCAGGGTCCCTTTTAAGAGGTCTTCTCCACTGACATGTAAGTGGCTTGAAGGATGAAAGTTTCCATCCTTGGCTGCCACTACTGAAACTTTCCTGTCCATTACTGATTATCTGAATCAGTCTGCCTGCTGTTGTCTTAGGATTTAATATTACTAGCTGTCTAGTTAAAGCAGAAAATATCGTAATCACTGAGGATATATTTGAATCCATTCTGGATTTTTTACTAATCAAAAATACAGTATATTTCTTAAGTATAACATAAAATTGTGTTGTGAGCCGTCCCGAGGCTGTGTAGCAATGGGGATGGCATATAAAAACTTTAAATAAATAAATAAATAAATAAATAGAAAATAGAAAAAAGTATAATAAAGCACAATTACCAACAATAAAATTCATAGCATATTAGATGTCATGAAATCCAGTATCAGTTTTCTATATCATTGGAAACTAATACAATCCTAACCATTCTTATATTCCTGTAAGTATGCCAGTCATATGCATCTTCCCCACACCAGTCACTACAGACAGCATGCTATCCTTCACACTTTTGCCACTATCCCAGCAAGACAGGATCTCAAGCAATTATTGTTGCAGTGGGACTTGAGTGAGCACAGCAAATAATTAAAGTTCAAACACACTTTAGGAAAGATAAAATTACCCTGCCTAAACTTGAGAACTAGCTCCTGACATTTTTTTTTTCCTGTTGTATCCATTTCTTTGTAGTACCAGAATTTGCCTTCTGAGATTCAGCTTCCATATAAATCAAAGTGGCCGCCAGCTACATGGTGTAAATATGTTCTAAAAATAGAGTTTACTGCTATCTAGTCTTGAATAGGACAAGGGCATTGTATAGAACCCATCCCTATTTATTTATTTAGAACATTTAACCTGTTTGTTCATTTAACAATAATTTAAACCAATACAATGAACAGAAAACTACAATAGAATAAAACCAGCAGCAGTTCATCAGAAGAGCAGCAATTAATTCCATCCATGTCAGATATATACTTCCAAAAGCAAGCAAGAGCAAAATAGCTTCAGCCAGCTGCTGATAAACAATAACTCAAAGGAAGGAAGTTAGCTTCATATTTCTAACAGTATTAATTAAAAGGTCCACTTAAGCCTTTAAAATCATTAACAACTTTTGGAATTTATTTCATCTCATTATTATTTATAACATATTGAAAGGCTTGTTACCTGTACAGGCTGTGATTTTAAATCTAGAATATAGTATGGAAACAATTGTTTCCAAAAGCCTTCCTTTGAAATGTCAAAACTGACATACATTGGTGAACTGTTTTGCTGTATGTTGAACCAGACCTATCAAAAGATGAGTACAATTAATCTGAAGAAGTCATGTTAGAACAAAGAAATCCAATAATGTCTTTTTCCCATCTGAAAAATCAAAGAAAGCATTTTTAGAGTGATACAAAATCTAATAAATTCCCTCAAAATAAGAAAGGAATAGCAACGAAGTTATAGTTATATCATAAATATAGTTAACAAGTGGAGATCTAAACAAGAAAAAATATTATGTAGGATACTTTGATATACACTTTTTTAACACTCACATCCCACATAGACCATTCAGGATAACATCTTATGTGACATTTTGCAGCTGAAATCAAATACACATACCTTGTATCATTTCTTGAATGAGGCATGTCTACCCAAATTGTGTTTTCAGTACTACATATGAAAAATGATTTCCATATTTTTCTGAGAAAGCAGTATCACAACATGAGATCTACTTAAACATGGAAATCTGGCTCAATTGAGCTTGCCAGATTTTCTGCCCTGTTTCAGTCTCATAACTGGAAGAGGGTTGAATGGACCACAACTTGCACACATTTTCAAAGCACTGATGAAATTTGCACAAATAAGTGTTCCAAAACCATACAGTTCTACTGTAATTTCTGCAGAATTTGCCAATTTGTGTAAAATCCAAATTTACACAAATTATAATTTGTACATATCTGCACAAATCACACTGCAGCCACATGATTTTAGGGTGCTAATTTGCACAAATGCATTATCAGTTAAATTGCATAATTATGGCTCCAGCATAAAGTTTAGAGTTGGGGTTACACTTTAGATTAGGTTGGGGTTTGGAAAACCTGGGTTCCCATACATGTGAATGGTGCAGAAAGAATACTTGGTCAACAAAAATACTTTGATTGTTGCCTCTGTGCACCTTGTCTGAATGCACATACATTATACCTGTATTTTAGAGTTGGGGTTAATCTTCAGGTTAGAAATAGGGTTAAGAAAATTTGCTATATGTGGTACAGAAAGGGTTAGGAAAAGCTGGGTCAGTCTGTATCTCCAGGGGCCTTGAACTAGCCTCAACTAGGAAAAATGAAAGTAAGGTTGCTTACCTGTAGCTGATGTTCTTGGAGTGGACATCTGTGCACTCATACATATGGGTTCTGTGCCTACACAGTGCCCGTTGTTGGAAAGAGAGATTCTCTAGATAGGCATTTTGACAGGAACCCCACTGCCTTCCCCGATGTGGTATATAAAGGCTGGGCTCCCACCATTTTCTCCAGTTTTCATGAGAGCATTGCTTGGGTCTCAGAACTGGAGAAGTGATGGCCATTCCTGACCTTCTCTGCACCAGTATGGCATGGATGGTAAGATAAAGAAAAGTTATGGAAAGAACTGCCATGGCTGATGTATATTTGATACCAAGTAGGATTACCCCTTCCACTATTATAAATGGGTGGAGTCCCCACTCTCTCACCAGTCAGCTGAAGACCGCTCGATCGTCCCCAGCTGGTACTGGCAAGGAAATGTAAGTTTAATTAAATTTGGAGAAATATGAACCCAATCACTGACACTGAAGTGGGGACAGTGGGCCGGTTGTGTGCACAGATGACCACTTAAAGAATGTCAGTTGCAAGCAAGCAACCTTACTTTCTTCTTCACGGTCTATGTGCATCACACATGGGTAATTAACGAGCTAACCATGAAATGGAGGTGGGAATGTGTTGTCAGTGGAGGACTGCTAATAGGATCATTCATCTGAAGGAGCAGTCTTGCTTGGCTCTGACATCGAGTCAGTCAAGTTTTGAATGAATGTGGATGGACTTGACCATGTTGCCACTCTGCCTAGGTCCTTTACTGGTATAACAATGTGTAGAGCTGTGGATGTAGCTACTGCTCTGGCAGTGTGCTTTCAGTTTTTCTGGGAGTTGCAGTCCCCCTAATTGGTAGACTACAATCCTTTGTCTCTACAATCCAGTGAGCTAGTCTTTGTGGAGTTATGTGGTTGCCTTTTGATTTTTTCACATATGAAACAAATAGCCTTTTAGATTGGCAGAATGGTTCTTTACAGGAACGATAAAAGGCCATTGCCCTTTGAATGTCCAAAGTGTGGTGAGCTGTTTCTACTGCTCTGGATGGTGTTGGGAAGACATCTCTTAAGGTTATGTCTTGGTACAAGTGGAAACGAAAGAGTGGTCCTGTTGGAGCACTGCCTTGTCATTATGGAATATCAGGAATGGTGGGTTGATCTGGAGAACACACAGCTCACTAGCCCAACTGACTGATGGCTACTAAAAATGCCACCTTCCAGGAGAAGATGTAAAGGTTGACTGTAAGGGTTCAAATGGGGCTTTGGGAAAGCCTGCAGAACCACTGAAAGGCTCCATCCTGGCACAATTAATCAGGTTGGAGGTGCAAGATTATGTAGTCATCTGGAAAGAGGGTGTGAGAATGATCATTCCATGAAAGGATGATATTGCTGCTATATCCTAATCAAGCCTTTGATATGCAGGTCATGCAAGATGGTAAGAATTTGATAGATGGATAATGCGGCTGGTTTAAAATCTTGTTCCTTAGAGAATTATTTAAATATCTTCCATTTTGTTCCATATGAACACCTGGTGTTTGGTTTGAGCACAGCATAGAGGATTAACTGAATCTTGGGAGCTTTTTTGTCTACTCAGTGATCCATGCTGTTGATGACTCAGTGTAGGACTAGTCCTTCATCCTGAGATATTATGTTGGGTCTCTTCAGGAGCTGCATGTAGTTCCAGTTGGGCAGGTGAAGAAAGTCTGCAAACCATGCTTGTCACAACCACCATGGGGTAACTAGAATACAGTCAGTATGGCTCCATTGGATCTTGGCTATTACTTTTGTAATCGGTGGAAATGCAAGGAACAGATAAAAAGTGTCCTATTCCAACATATGAGAAATACATCTCCCAAGGACCCATTGCCAGCTCTGGCTTGACAGCAAAATTGGCTGCAGACTGTATTGTTTGGTGTTGCAAATAGGTCCATGGATGGAATCTGGCAGGTTGTGAAGAGGTGTTTTACAGCTTTTGATCTGCCTCCTATTTGTGAGCTGGTCCATCCTTCTGCACCAGCTGTCTGCCAGTTTGTTGTAAATTCTGGCTAGGTGGCCTACAATAATTGCATTCTGCTCTAAGCACCAGTCCCATATTTACAGTGTAAGTTGTGTCAATGATACGGAGCAAGTTGTGCCTTGTTTGTTTAGATAATACACTAGTGTGGTATTGTCCAATCTTATCTGTCTGTGACTGCTCTTGAGCAGTTGTTGGAAGGATAACAACACTTTTTGCACTGGAAGGAGCTCCAAGAAGTTGATATGCTTGATGTATTCCTGATTGCTCCATAATCCATGTGTGGTTTTTTGTTTTTGTTTTCTCAGGCACAGTATGCTCCCCATTCCCAAGGGAAAGCATGCATAGTTATAGTCAAATCCAGTTTCTTGTGGGGTAAAAGGAATCCCATTGGAAAGGTTCTGCTACATAGTCCACCACGTGAGACTGAACCATACTGAGTGAGGGAGTACTAAGTGCTTCCATTTGGAGTCTATGTTTGGTCAGTAGACTTGAAGAAACTACTGCAGGAGCTGTCACATCCACAGGTGAACATCCACAAGTCTACCAAGGCAAACCAGTCCCCTTGCCTTAACAAGGGTAGTATAGTGTGTAGAGAAATCATGCTGAACTTCTTATATGGAATATAGAAGTTCACACCTCTAAGATCTAAAATGGGATGAAGGCTGCTGTCCTCCTTCAGGATGGTGAAAAAACAGGAGTATAACCCCCTGTGGTGTTCAGAAGGTGGGTCAGATCGCTCCCTTTGCTCAAAGCATTACTACTTCCTTTTCTAAGGAGGCTGATGGAGAGGTAGTGCATATAATCCTGAGTGGTGGAAAGGATGTGAATTCTACATGGTAACCAAATTCAGTGATGGAGAGTACCCATCTGTCTGATGTTTTATATCTTCCCATTGTGGAAGGAATTTTCTTAGGCAGCCTTTGAACCAAATTGTTACTGGTGGTGAGGGACTAGTTCAGGTTGGTGGTCAGTGATGTCACCTTTCAACATCCAGCTGTTTCTTTGCAGACTGCAGGTAGTGAGGGAGGCATTCCAATGTTGCTTTGTGGGTGGTCATTGGCAAGCTGGGTAGTATGGCTGATTCCTGCCAGGGTCAGAGAATGTGAGGTAAGATCAACAGAGGGTTTAAAAAATTATAAAACAAGTTAAAGTTATAGATCTAACAAAGGAAAGGAAAGTTCTATTTAGTGAGAAAAGCTGAGGTAAAAGAGCATTCTAAGGCATGAGGTAAGCTAGGTTAGAATCTAAGGCACCCAAACCAGTAGTCAAAGACAAACTGGCTCCCTTCCCCCATGTGGTAAATAAATATGAGGCTCCCACCAAAACACCTAGCTAAGGACTCTCTCTCTCTCTCTGACAATAGGACCCACGCAGGCACAGAGCCCATATGTGTGATGCACAGAGACCCCAAAGAAGAATGAGTGGCAACAAGAACACAGTGACATCTCTCTTCGTGCATTATTTCTAAATGCAGAAAGATTATACCATCATTTTAGGGTTGAGATTAAGTTTCAGATTAAAGTTAGGCTTGGCAAAACTTCCTGTGCATGAACAGGAGCCTGGAATTATCCTTGACTGGGCAGAAAGAGTGACTAATCAATAAGTGCAATCTGAGTGCAGCCCTTCTACATGTTACCTAAATGTATATGAAATATACCTAGGTTTAAGACTGAGGTTAAGCTTCAGGTTAAGGTTAGGGAAGCACAGACCATTGTGGATGTCCAGGGGCCTAGAAATAGCCTAGGTTATTCAAACAAACTGAGCAATTACCAAGAGCACACCAAGAGCCCATGTGTGCTGTCTTCCTGTATGATTTATGAATGTATAGAAATGATGTTGAGTTGTGGTTAAGTGTCAAGTTAGGTTACAATATGGAAAACATGGGTTGCTCTGCTTGTCTTGGGGTCGGGAAATACCCCTGATTATGCAGAAAGCATGAGTGGTCAAGAAGAACACCCTAAGTGCCAGTTTTGTACTTACTGTCTTACTGTATAGGGCTTGCACCTGATCATTAGGATAGGGATTATGCTTCAGGTCATGATTAGGATTAGGAGAACAAATCTCTGTGCATGTGGAATGTCCTGGAGCTATCCTTGAAGGGGCAAATACTGTTAAGCTTCCAGTTAGGGTTATTGAATGGGGAAATCCAGTTCATTTGAGTTTAACAAATTGCCTGACTCTTTCCAATCCAATGGTTGGAAGTGAGCCAAGTTGGAGGGGCATGGATTTCCCTCTCTAAAACAGATCACAATTTTAAAATCACTAATGAATTGTGTACAAATAAGCACCCCAAAACACACGGACCCAGTGTGATTTCTGCAGAATCAGAGTATTTGCATGAAATAATAATTTCTTCAGATTACAGAAGTTGTGCTTTGCACAATTGTCCAAATCACACTAAAATTACATGGTTTTCAGGTGCTCATTTGTTTAAAATATGTAAATTGCAACATTGATAGAGACCGAGATCTACAAACTAGTTCAATTTGTATTAGAGCAAGTCAACACCACTTCAGGGCTAACATAGCAGAATCTGGGAACCTGAACTTTGGTAATCTGTCAAATAATTCATCCCAAATCACAGCACTGCTTAGGGCAAGAAATTGATCTGCTTCAGCCAGGTTCATTCATGACATGACTACCATGCACATTTCTAGCCTATCCTTGACACCCTTATAATGGTGCTTCAACCACCTCCTATGGAAGCCCATTCCATATTCTAGGGATCCTAACTGTCAGCAAGTACTTCCTGGCATCCAAATGGAACCTTGGTTATCTGAGCTTTGCTCCATTGGTACATGTCCTGCCCTCCTGTGCAGAGGAAAAAGGTCTCTACCTACCTCCAGGTGGCACCCCCTCACATACCTATATGTCACCAACAGATCCCCTTGGAGTCTCCTCTTCTCCAGACTGAAATGACCCAGTTCTCTCATTCTCACCTCATATGGCTTTCCCTGCAAACTGGACATCATCCTTGTGGCCCTACACTGCACTGATTCCAACATGTCTATATCTTTCCTGTAATGTGGAGCCCAGAAGTAAATACAATACTCCAGTTGTGGACACACCATAGTCATACAGAGTTTTAGTAATACCTCTCTCGATCTAGAAGCCACACTTCTGGCTATGCAACCAAGGGTGGTGTTTGCCCTCTTGACCACCGCATCACACTGCTGACTCATGTTTAGCTGGCAGTTGACCAATACCCTGAGATACTTTCACAAGTGCTGCTCTCCAGCCACTTGTCCCCTAACCTGTACTTATGGCACCCATTCCTATGCCCCAAGTGCAAGACCTTGCACTTATCCACATTGAACGCCATCCTGTTGTCTCATACAGATCATACCATCCTATTCCCAGGGGAGCCTCAAGCAGTTCTTGCTTGTTTCCTATGCTTTTATCATTAGTGTACATGCATCTCTGCTCCCTCCCACAACCCCCTTTCTTCAGGTCCCCCAGCCTCCTTGTTCTTCCCTTCTTCCCTGTTACATCATAGAAGTTCCACCCACCCCTGCATTACCTCCAACACCTGTACCTGAAACTCTGATCCCTCTCCTCACATTTGTCCAATCAGGACAGGCTTTTTTGGGGACTGTAGAGTTTTTAAAAGGGGCCTCTAATCCAGATTAAAAGGGGTTGGGATAGCATTTTAGAGCAACAAGAGTTGAAATAAGTTCAAAATGTGTAGACTATCAGAGAAATAAAAAAGTGGAGGATCTTGCTTAAAGAGCATAAGAATCTCACGGTCCTGTTTTTGTGTTCAAAAATCACTTGTACATTTCCCTTCTCTTGACAACTTGCCTTTCAAGAGAAAACAAAGGGAAAGGATACCTTATTTGGCTCCTCTTAAAGCAGATGTCCAAGGTTTGTACCTGTTACCCTGTAGCAGCAGGCACTGCCAAGGCTGTGGAGTCAAGTCAGAATCATGGAGTCAAAGTCAGAGTTGGAAACAGTCCTTTGGTTACTGGAGTCAGAGTCAGTAAAAATATGCTGACTCTAATTCCTACTAAATTTAAATTGTAATGTAAATAGTATGTCAAAAATTCCTGCTTCACAGATAATAATTTGATTAACCTATTTTTCAGGTTATATTTTCAGGATATATTTTAATTTCATATATTAGCGAAAGAAGCATCCCATTAAAAAAAATTCCCAATGGCAAAAAATGTGTCAACAAAGTTGGTAATTTTCAAACACTTTACAATAGCAACAGGTGGAAAATATTATGTGTGTCAGTGTATTATAGAAGATGATGAATGTGAAAAAGGATGTGTTCCAAAAATTAGCATGTTTTGTGGTTCTGATAAAAATGCATCTACAAGAGCATCAAGTTCAAAAAGACACTTGCAGCATTTGATAGGTTGAGTGCTTTCAATAAATATAGGAATAAATATAATAATTATTTATTTAGTATTGATATAAAAAATAAAAGAGTCAGAATTGAAGGTACCATCAATTTTGGAGCTGGAGTCAGGGTCAGAGTCAAAAGTTTTATGTACCAGCTGCACAGCCCTGGGTACCCCACGACCCAACATTGCTCAACCAAGGGTCCCATTTTCTACATTCACACAAATGTCAAAAAAATTAACTCCACACAAAAACCTGTACATTCCTTGTACAGAAATAATTTAAAATTACTTTTTCTCAGACACTTTGAAGGAGCTGGCAGTGGCTATCATACTAGAGATAGTGAAAGCCTGCTATCAAGCCAAACGTTGAAATCTCCAGGAAAAAAATGGTGAAGATGAAAACATGCCACTGCAAACTGAAAAGAGTGCTGGTCCAACCCACTACATATCTACACACATTTCAGTTTATTTGACACATTGAATAGAATGTATAATACCATCAGTCTAATCAGCAGATTTAATACAAAGTGAATTCTCCAATATGTAACAGATGCAGTAGAGTAATGCCTGGAGCTATAGTTAAACATGCTGGTTGGTCATCTTTTAATTCAACTGAAGGCATATTAAAAATCCAGAATGACTGGTTACAGTTAATCAACATGAGCTAATGTTAGGAGATGGCTTTCTGATCACTGGGAATCATTATAAAGCTTTAAATAATATGATAATCAAACTTGGAGAAAGTGATTATCTTCTTTCCTTCACTGCAGAAGCGAGAAACAAATAAAAATGGTTGGAAGGGAAGGAGAGAACTGCTTCAGACAGTTTTGAAACCAGCTAGGAATTGGAGTGTAAGAGGAAAGTGCTGCACAAGTTGCTCTCTAGGAATCTCATGCAGAGTGTGCTATCTTTTAGAAAAATGTATTTGCCTCTATTATAGTCTGCTTAAAAAGGTAAATGTTTCCCCATGACATTAAAGTCCAGTCATGTCTGACTCTTGGGGGCAGTGCTCATCTCCATTTCCTAGCCAAGGGAGCCAGCGTTTGTCTGCAGACAGTGTCTGTGGTCATGTGGCCAGCATGACTAAACACTGAAGTGCACGGAACGCTGTTACCGTCCCACCAAAGTGGTACCTATTTATCTACTTGCATTAATATGCTTTCGAACCACAAGGTTGGCAGGAGCTGGGACAGAGTACGGGAGCTCACCCCGTCTGCAGATTCAAACTGTCGACCTTTCAATCAACCAGCCCAGCAGCTCAGTGGTTTAACTCACTGCACCACTGCATCCCTATATTCTGCTTACATAATTATAAATACAACAAATATTTCAAACACCAGAATTTTCTATCATTTTCTCATTGTAAGAAAATTAAACCTACAAGTATCATTCCGGGAATTTCCCACTACTTGAAAAGGTAAGGAAAATAATTAAATATGATTATACTTAGACATAATTACTTACATTTTCCCAGCTAATTAAGCAATCAATACTCTGCAGTGGGCAAAATGCATCAAACTGTTTATAGCACTGGCCATTCAGTGGATTCCACAGAAAATATTCTCCATTTTCTTGTGTTGCTACATAAGCTACTTTCCCCTATAACAGCAAAAGTAGATGCCACCATTTTTATTCATTTTATATTCAACATGAATTAAGCTTTATCTTCAATCCTTATATTAGCTATCATTTCTGTTGTGTTTTGAAACCATGTTACAGTTTTTAACATAAATTGAACTGGGAATGAGGCCAGAACATGGTCCAAGTCTAGGATGTTTCTTACAATTATGGCATACCAGAGAAAAGGAAACTATCTGCAGTGTTAGGTAAGTCACCAACACTGACTCAGGGACAGTGGGTGGGTTCTGTGAAGGCACAGATGACAACTCAAAGAACAACAGTTACAGGTAAGCAACCTTACTTTCTTCTTCATGGTCTCTGTGAATCATGCATATGGGTGACTAGAAAGCTTACCAAGTATGGTGGTGGGGGTGTCATCACTGAAGAATGGAGGATAATACTGAATGTCCAAAGGAGCAGTCCTGTCAGTAGTGTTTTACAAATGTTGAAGGTGTAGACTAGCTAGTTGCTTTGCAGAAGTGTTGTGGTGAGATCCCAGTATACAATGCTCTGGAGGTTGCCATGGATCTTGTTGAAAGTGCTTTGGGTTGGTCCAGTAGCTGTAAGTGTACCAGGTGATAATCCACTTTTATTGCCTCTACAATCCAATGGGCCAGCCTTTCAAGGACTGATCGGTTTGCCCTTGAATCATTCAATGTAGGCTACAAATAGTCTTTTGAAATAGCCCCATATGCCTTTCGGTCCCAGGGCAGTGTGAGCAATCTGAGATGTTCTGTCAGCCACTGGATGAATGCCAGTGATGGCACCGGAAAATGATCTTGTAGTGACGTAGGGCTATCAGAGAGGCCCGCCACAAATCTCTGTCTTGGTGAGTGTGTTCTCTGGATGTCATGACACACAGTCCCTCTCCTGAGTAAATACACTGCTTCAGAGTTCCTTTTCACAATTCATTATTACACGTCCTTATTGTCAAACATCTCTGAATTCACCCAGAGTAAACTGCTGAACTCTCTCTGAGCCCTTCCCTTAATCTTCATCCCATTTAAGAGGTACTCTCAGTTGCCAACTCAGAGGCATGGCACAGAAATCCCTCACCTGTCTCTGCGCCTCCCATAGTGCCAACAACTGAATCTCCTACCTGTGTTGCTTTCTGTTCTCCCATGGGCAGATTGGAGCTCTTGTCATCTTCCACTCCCAACCCTGCTCCTTGATGAGCTGCCTCTTCATTCCCACAGGATGATTGATCGCCACACCCACCCAGCTGGGGCAATGGCATTTGATCTGTGGACAATCCCTGGCCTTGATCTGATACTGTCATTTGCTGAGATTCCAAAACTTTTTTGTCTTGACTGTCTGAATTCCCTTTCCCATCAAATCTATCAACAGACTGCAGCCCTTCTGGTCACTTTTCCCTGTGTGTCTCCACAACATTGTACGGGTTGGCAATGTGATCCGAGTAGATGGTGATCAGGATGGTGAGTCCTGTATTTTCTCTTCAAAGAAAAACTGGGCTGCACTCGGCTTGGATCGTTTCTCAGCCTGGATCATTGTTGGAATGCTAGCAGTGGTTGGAGTGATGTGGATCGATTATGGGGCCAGCTTTGAAATGGTAGCTGGAACTGCTGGTAGGTAAGGCAAATGAGCTTGCTCCATAGCAGTTGGAGAGTGGTGTCCAGACTTTTTGCAAGCTTTTGCTTGCCCTTTTTTATAGCTGTGACTGGCTCTTCCACCATTTTGGAAGAGCCAGTAACAGCTGCATCTAGTGTATATTTACCATCTAGTGCATATTTAGTTTTTCTGGGCACTGACAGAGCAGTTAAAGGAGCTTCCATGTCTGCATATAGGGCTATGTGAGATGCCGACAGGTGGTCTTGTGAGTCCCCTTCAACATTTTGCATTGCCACAAGAGCCCTGGTTCACATTTCTGTCTTCGGACAGCATGCCCTGCTCTTCCTGGCTTGTATATTGAAAGCCTGACAGTGTGGGCAGGTATCTAATTGGTGCTCTTCGCCAAGGCAAAAGAGGCACAGCAAGTGTCCATCTGAGGAGGGCATTTTCACTCTGCACCTTACACTTTCTAAAGACCATCTTGAGCACCATCGGGCTTTTGACTCTGGCGTCTTGGCAGAGCAGCAGAGGCACAGGCTGGGAGAGAGTGCTGAGTGGCCAGGGGACTGGCAAAGGCAGGGTAGGAGCTGGGCAGGGGAGCAGAGGGCCAGGAGCAGCAGAGAGGAAGGGGGCAGGGCCAGAGGGGCTAGAGGGGCCAGGAGGAAGCAGACAGGCGGGGCCACCGGCCTGAGGGGCTGATAAGGCATCATCCCTTGTCTGCGTCCCTTAGCTGTGGCCCGGGCTGTCTGGGGTCTCCTTTCCCTGGGACGTAGAGAATTTTTTTTTTGGCTTTGTTTTCCTTCCTTCCTTTCTTTCTTACTTACTTTCTTTTTTTGTTTGGTTGGGGGTTTGTTTGTTTTTTGGTGCTGTGCTGTGCTTTGCATTGTTTTTCCTCCAATTTAAATTTAAGTTTATTTTATAAATTTAAGTTTGTTTTATAAATTTAAGTTTATTTTATAAATTTAAGTTTGTTTTATAAATTTAAGTTTATTTTATCCTTGTTTGTGTGCACGAGTGGGTTTTTGTCTGGGAGAACTGGGCGAGTGAGAGGAACTGCAGGACAAACAAGGCAGGGGACCAAGGGAAGGTCTCGGAAGGGATCCCAATGGCAGACCAGGAGATGGCCTTGGCAGGAGTCATGGGTGTTGCTGTCCGCTGCGACAGCTGCAACATGTTCGCCCTTCTCCCCCAGGAGAGGCAGGGTTACACTTGCCCTGGGTGCAAGCTGGTGACCCTGCTAGAGGAGGAGGTGAGGTGCCTGAGGGCCAAGAGAGCTCTCCAGGCCCCCCGGGAGCAGGCCCCTCTGGACAGAAGGTTGAGAGAGAGACCACGGGAGGAGCAGCCGGGGAGACATGGAGGCATGTCACCCACAGGAGGAGGAGGCCAGCACAGCCTCCTCCTTCTCCTGGCACCAATCTGGAGCTGGGAAACAGGTTCTCTCCACTTGGGGAGGCTGGGGCTGATGAGGCCTCGGGGGACCAGCAGGGCCCCCCAGCCTGGGACGACAAGCAGCAAGTGGACCACTGCAGGAGAGGCGAGAGCCAGGGCATGGCTGCCCACCACCACCAGGAAGACACAGTGGCAGGTGATTGTTGTTGGGGACTCCCTGCTGAGGGGCACTGAGGTGGCAGTGTGCCGCCCCAACCTGGAGACAAGGGAGGTTTGCTGCCTGCCAGGCACACGCATCCGGCATGTGAAGGACAGAGTGGAGTGTCTTGTTCGCTCCGGGGGTCACCAGCCGCTCCTGGTGATCCATGTGGGCACAAACGATGTGGCCAGGCCGGGTGTGGTTGGGACCAGCAGGGACTTTGAGGCCTTGGGGAAGAAACTCAGGGAGCTGAAGGCCCAAGTGGCCTTCTCGTCAATCTTACCAGTCTGGGGATTTGGGCCAGGAAGGGGCAGGAGGGTCTCCAAGGTGAACGACTGGCTTAGGGTATGGTGCCTAAAAAGGAATGCTTCGGGTTCCTCGACCATGGAACTCAATTTCTTGCCAATGGACTTCTGGCAAGGGACGGGTTGCACCTCACGACGATGGGGAAAAGGTCCTGTGGAGATGCTCTAGCGAGCTTCGTCCAGAAGACTTTAAACTGAGCCGGGGGGGGGAGGGTTCAGGCCCCCCAGAAATGTGTCTGCACTGGACAAGTGTGGGGAGAGGATCAGGGCTCTGAGAGCAGGGTTTTAGAGGTACTGCAGGGACTGACAGGACTCCTACAGAGAGAGGCCAGGTATCAGGGAGGATGGGAGGAAGGAGGAGGCTGGGAACTCCAAGGAAAGGAAGCGGTGGGAAGGAGTTGAGGTGCATGTACACCAATGCTAGGAGCATGGGTAATTAGCAGGAAGAGCTTGAAGCTCTCCTGGGAATAGGAGGGTATGATCTGGTGGGAATCACAGAAAATTGGTGGGATGAAAGGCAAGTCTGGAAAGTGAACATAGAAGGGTATCACCTTTTTAGAAAGGACAGGAAGGGAAAGAGAGGTGGGGGCGTGGCTTTATACGTCAGGGAAGGGATAGGATGCAGTGAGATAGAATGCAGCATAGATGGGGATTCGGTAGAGGCAGTCTGGGTGAAACTTAGGGGTTTTGACAGGGAAAGAGACTTGACAGTGGGGGTATGTTATCGCCCTCCAGGTCACCTTGAGACCCTGGATGATGTCCTGACAGGCCAGATTCTAAGGATATCTCAGGGAAGAGACACAGTAATTATGGGAGATTTCAATCTCCCGGATATTACTTGGGAGACTCACTCGGGGGTGACAGCCAGGTCGCGTTGCTTCCTAGAAGCTATAGAGGGAGGGTTTTTCACACAGAGGGTCCGAGAGGCAACGAAGGGGGGAAACATCCTTGACTTGGTCTTGACCAATAGGGAGGAGCTGATAGATGAAGTACAGATTAGGGGAGTTCTGGATGAGAGTGTTCACTCCATCCTTTGCTTTGATATCAGGAGACTGGGGACATGCAATAGGTCAAGCACTAGAAGCTGGGACTTCAAGAGGGCCAACTTTGGCCAACTGAAGGCAAGACTGGGGAAAGTCTCCTGGGATAGGTTACTGGAAGGTAAGCGAGTTGAGGAGGGTTGGATAGCACTCAAAAGGGAGGTTTTGGAGGTGCAAGCCTTGACAATACCTCTAGTCAGTAAGGTGGGGAGGTGGAGGAGAGTGCCACCATGGATGCGAAAGGAGGTGGTTAGAGGGATTAGATGAAAGAGGAAGCTCCGTAGGAAATGGGTACTGGGCGAAATAGACAAAAGGGTATATCGAGAGGAGGAGGCCCGTTGCAGAAGGATTCTTCGCAAGGCTAAGGACTTGCCAAGAATATCAAGAGCAATAAAAAGGGCTTCTTTCAGCATGTAAATAGGAAGAGGAAGGGGAGACGAGTGGTGGGACCACTAAATAAGGAGGAAGGAGATCCAGTGACTGATATGAGGGAACAGGCACAGATGCTAAATGACTATTTTGCCTCTGTGTTCTCCCCAAAGCAGGACAGCGGATATCCGCATAGGAGATTAGATGAGGCTGGGGGCTAAGGGGCACAGATTAGAGTCACCCCCCTAGAAGTTGAGGGGCTCCTCAGGGTATTGTACATTACAGAGGCGCCAGGCCCTGACAGGTTACACCCGAGAGTACTTAGAGAGTTGGCAGGGGTTCTCTCACGCCCGCTGGCCTCCATTTTTGAGGCCTCATGGAGAAAGGGTGAAGTTCCAGAGGACTGGAGGGTGGCATCAGTGGTCCCAATTTTCAGAAAGGGTAGTAGAAAGGACATGGGGAATTATAGACCTGTTAGCCTTACGTCCATTGTAGGAAAATCAATGGAAAGGCTCATAATAGAGAGAGATCTAGTGATGCTAGATAGGGAAGGGAGGCTGACAGCCACACGACACGGCTTCCACAAAAACAGGTCCTGCCAGACAAACCTTGTGGAATTCTATGACAAGGTTTCGAGATGGCTAGATGGAGGGGATGCAGTGGATGTGGTATACCTGGATTTCAGCAAGGCCTTTGACAAAGTACCCCATGATATCCTGGAGGAGAAACTAAGGAGTTTTGGGATATACCAAAGCACTGTCCGGTGGATTACAGCATGGTTGACTGACCGAAAGCAGAAGGTAACCATTAGTTGGAAATCATCGGGATGGCAGCCAGTGACAAGCGGGGTCCCCCAGGGCTCTGTCCTGGGGCTGATCCTGTTTAATCTTTTCATAAATGACATGGAAGAAGGGGTGAACAGTCTGCTGATCAAATTTGCAGACAACACTAAAACTGGAGCAGTGGCCACAACTGAGGAGCAGGTACTCCAGATCCAAAAGGATCTGGACAGACTATGGAAGTGGGCAGGAGACAACAGGATGGCATTCAATGTGGATAAGTGCAAGGTCTTGCACTTGGGGCACAGGGATAGCTGTCATAAGTACAGGTTAGGTGATAAGTGGCTGGAGAGCAGCACTTGTGAAAGGGACTTCAGGGTACTGGTTGACTGCAGGCTAAACATGAGTCAGCAGTGTGATGTGGTGGTCAAGAGGGCGAACGCCACCCTTGGCTGCATAGCCAGAAGTGTGGTTTCTAGATCAAGAGAGGTATTACTACCACTCTATACGCCTCTGGTGCGCCTGCTACTGGAGTATTGTGCTCAGTTTTGGGCCCCTCATTACAGAAAGAATATAGCCAGGTTAGAGTCAGTGCAGCACAGGGCCACAAGGTTGGTGGCTGGTTTGCAGGGAATGGGGTTTGAGGCGAGACTGAGGGAACTGGGTCTCTTCAGCCTGGAGAAGAGGAGACTCAGAGGGGATATGTTGGCGACATACAGGTATGTGAGGGAATGTCACATGGAGATGGGTAGAGACCTGTTCTCCCCTGCAGAGAAAGGCAGGACACGCTCCAATGGAGCAAAGCTCAGGGAGCCAAGGTTGCATTTGGATGCCAGGAAGCACTTCCTGACAGTCAGGACCCCGAGGGTGTGGAATGGGCTTCCATGAGAGGTCGTTGAGGCCCCATCGGTGCAGGTGTTCAAGGACGTGCACAGGGTGGGCATTTCGTGAGCGGAGCCGGCTGGTGCCAGAGGTCAGACTAGATGGCCCGGGAGGCCCCTTCTGACTCGCTCTGTTTCTATGTTTCTATAAAAGTTAGATGAAAAAAGTATAAACTTTTAAGAAGACAATAGAAGGAGTTTTTTTAATTTTTATATTGTCATTTTATTTTATTTTTTGTGAGGGGAAGATGTTTAGGAAAGGGGTTGTCACAACTTGAATTGATTATTCCGTGTCTTACAATCTGGTATCAGTGAGATCTTGACCTTCCTCTTTGTGACAGCCTTGAAGTACTTATAGAGTGATATTTTGTCCCCTCTCAGTCTTCTCTTCTCAAGGCCGAACATGCCCAGTTCTCTCATAGGTCAACGTTTCCAAACCCTGGATCATTTTTGTTGTCCTCCTCTGGACCTTTTCTGATTTTTCAGCATCTTTCTTAAATCTTGGTGCCCAGAATTGGACACAGTATTCAGATGAGATCTGACTAGTGAGGAGTACAGGGGAACTACTACTTCTTGTGATTTGCAAGTAATACTTATTAGCTTAAGACAAAACAATGGAGATGTATATTTCATAGTCACAAATAATATATTTTCAATTAAAATAACAAGTGGAATGTATGGACATTAGCACTATTGAATGTTACAGCATACTGAGTAATATACATGATTATCTAATATGAAATATTCCATTACTCTCCATTTGGTAAGGATTTGAACAACCCATCTTGAAATAGAACATTTTATTGATCATTATAATGGAACTTCTTGTGACAAGAACGTAAACAAGTTAAGACGAACTATTTCATAGCCACTTTATATTAGCAAATGTGCTAATGAACTTCTTGCTATGATATCACAATCTACCTTATATAGCTCCATTCATTAGGTATTTGATATTTTATGAGAAACTATACAAACAAGTATTTCAATATTTTGCTAGACTTACTTCTAATACAGATGTTCCCAGCAGTATCCATGCTTTTTTCCCAACATACAAAAAGTAGTTGCATAGAAGCACTGCATGTTCCTCTTTATTAGCAACACCCAATTTGAGGCAATCCTATCAGAAATATAAGATTACAGATTTAAAATCAAAACTACTGTGATTTATTCTGCATCTTCCCACAAAATGATAGATAGATACATAGAATGAATGAACGAACGAATGAACTTTATTACGGTCAAAGACCAGCTCAATTTGAGTAAATAAATAGGTATAGAAAGGAAAGAAAATGCATTAAAACATAGAAACATAGAAACAGAGCAAGTCAGAAAGGGCCTCCCATGCCATCTAGTCTGACCCCCAGCTCCAGCCAGCTCTGCTCACAACCTGCCTACCATGTGTATGTCTAGCCTATCCTTGAACAAACAAACAAACAAACTGTCATAAAGCCCCAGTCGGATTAGTAGGCACTTCGATACAATGCACTACTACTATAACTCATATCCATCAACTTGAGTAAGTGACATTCCCAGACTTTGTCTGTCATCCAGCTAAGCAGAACCACACTCCCTCAAGATCCTTCTTCGGACACCCATTGCAGCTGTGAAGAATTTAGTGACACTGTATTTTAGCCTTGGATTAGTGTCAGACAGCAAACTAGAGACATATTGTTGTCCTGTACAGCCTGGAAAGCAATTCATCAGTGGGGAAATGAATGCAATGTGAATATACCATCCCTCCAAACCTGCCAAGGGGAGACCATTAAGGTGAGCCAAGGTAAAAGCCCTTCTGTGTTTGTGCAAATCCAATTGTTCAAGTTAGGGTACAGCTAACGCAATGTGTCCATAGTCCTCCTTAAAATAGAATTCTAGGGTGCTACTGAGATCACTTTGTCTCTCTATGTCTGCTATGCGCTGCTTGATAGTTTCCATTGCCTGTTTGAAGCCCATATTTAGTAGAGACCGCAAGTGAAGGTCCAAGAAAGCTATTTTCTGCTTGATTGATTTAGTCCAGTTGGATTTAAAATTGTCTTCCAAATTAATGAATCAAGGCCAATTGGAAAATACAATAATCTGAGCCAGTGCACAAGAATAGCATCCCGGATCCTAGTTTCAATTTTAATCTGACTGGTCTCTAATCTTATCTTTGCATTGGAGACATCTCTAGGAACATCTAGCATTGCCCTCAGAAATTTTGAATGTACACATACTTGGGTATTCAGAAAAGGCCCCTATTAAGATCTGTACAGTAATTGAGCTAGTACTTTTGCTCAGTATAATTGGAGGGCTAAGGGGATGGTCAACACAGAAATCAGATTAACTATGTGCTCTGCAGTCAAAGCTCTATATAGTCAGTAAAAACAAGACCAGGAGCTGACTGTGGCTCAGATCATGAGCTTCTTGTTGCAAAATTTAGGCTTAAATTGAAGAAAGTAGGGAAAAGCACTAGGCCGCTCAGGTATGACCTAAATTATATTCCTGATGAATATACAGTAGAGGTGACTCATAGATTTAAGGAATTAGATCTGATACACAGATCTGCTATGAACTGCTCATTGTTGTGCTTGATTTCCCAAGCCCTTCCCAGCTGCCACTTTAAATTCTATGGTAACTCCTTCTCCTGAGGTCAGGATTCCAACATCAGGAACAGAAGAAAGAAGTATCATGGGGTAGATTGGTCAGACAGGAGAGGCCACAGTTTCGATGGCCTGTCAGCCTGCAGCTGTGTCTTCAACAAAATGAGCACTTTACATGCTCGAGGTCAATCTAATGAAAAATGCTATGATAAAGAATGGAAAGGGTAAACGCCTCCATTGCTCCTGACTTCACAGGACTGTGCTAAGTTAAAGGCTTACACAATATAAATATTTTCATTACCTAGAAATTTCAAAATATAGGAAACAAAATAGCATTAGAACAGATGGAACATATTGACCATCTTTCACTTCATTTTTAAAAGAATGTATATGTTTTATTCTGTGGTTCAATTTTATGTTTTTGTTTTGTGAACTACATAAGAACATAGGTCATACTGAATCAGAGCAAGGATCCATCTAATCTAGTATTTCGCTACACAGTGGCCAGGCCAGCTGTGCTCAGGATCCTATTAAGAAGGATATGACAACTACAGCAACCTCCTGCCCAAGTTCCCCAAACTGATGTACATAAGCATCCTGCCTATGTCAGCAGTAGTCTACTGCTGACATATGCGGTATGCTTATGTCAGCAGGGGAAGGCTGGCCATGACTACTGCAGCAGTAGCAGCAGTAGTCATGGCCAGCCTTCCCCTCCATGAATTTGTCCAATCACCTTTTAAAGCTAGTCAAACTCTTGATAATTACATCCTCATGGAAGTGAATTTTATAATTTATCTCTATGCTGTACAAAGTATTTCCTTTTATCTGTCTTGAATCATTCACCAATTAGCTTCATGGGATGACCTCAGGTTTTAGTATTATGGAAGAAGGAGAAAAATGTCTCCCTATTCTCTTTCTTCTCATGATGCACAAATTTGTACACCTCTGTCATCTTTCCACTTATTTGCCTTGTTTTTCTATGTTAGACAATCTCAGCTGTTGTAACCTTTCCTCATAAAGGTGTTGCTCCAATCTCTGATCATTTTAATTGCACTTTTCTGAATGTTTTCTAACTCTACAATATCCCTTTTCAAGTGCCGCTAACAGTATTCTAGTTGCACCATAAATTTGTAGAAGGGCAGAATGACATTGACAATTTTATTTTCAATGTCTTCCCTAATAGTGCCTAACATGGAGTTTCCCTTTCCACAATAGCCACACACCAGGTTGACATTTTCACTGAGCTGTCCATCATAACTGCAAAAGCACTTTCTTGGTCAATCACTGCCAGCTGAGATTCCCTCAGCTTCTATGCCCCAGAGAGTGTTTTCAGGATTGTTAACTAATCTTATTCATATTTAAAATGCTGTTAGTAAGTGCTGTCAGGTCATCCCTACCTTATGATGACCCTATGAATGAACGCCTTCTAAAATGCCCTGACCTTGCTTAGCTTTTATACAATTAAGGCTGTGGCCATCTCATTGCTGATCTTTCCCTTCTTCTACCTTTGATGCATTATTTTCTTGTGCATTATGCACAAAAAAAGAAACAAATTAAAATCAATGGAACATTAACTCTGTAAACTTTGTATTACCTCTGATGTTATCCAAATATCAACATCATCACTTTCATCCACAGAGTCTGATATGCAAGGAATTAAAGATACAAATCGTGATATAAGATCCTATAACATAAGCAAGAATAGATCTATCACAGTAATGCATGTTAGAAATTCTAAGTTACGTGTTTATATATGGATTTATTAAAAGCCTCAAACACTAGTTTCTGTATTGCAGTTTTGTTTTGTTTTCACATTTTGTCACAGAAGTATCAAAGACAGGCTATTTTCAGACAAAGAAACACTAACAATCAAAAAGCAATGTGTGTAGCTATAGTCTGTCTTTCCTTTTTAATGGATTCTTTTATTTTCTGGTGAGTGAGAGAAGACAGAAGTTGTAGAGGACAACAGATTGAAGACAACCATGTCTAGAGTTTCCTGTAAAATACTGTGTATGAGGCAGTGCAATTGTGCTATAAAAGTCTCATTAGGAAGACACAACAGGAAAATTGCCCAGACAACTTCATCTATTGAGTGGTATAGGAATGAAATTCCTCCTCATCATCAACTTATTTTATGAGAAACATTCCATACTTACAGAAGTTGAGTTAGGATCATCAGGATACATATCCAGTAACAGCTGTGGTGGATTAAGAGAGGTAATATACTTTGTTACTAAAATACTTTTTCCTTGATGGTTAAAAACTGATGTTACTATTCTCCTCTTTGGAAACAGTGCCTTACATGTCTGCTTAAAAATGTATGCTCTTTGCAATAGTGTTTCATTTTCGTGATCTGAAAGCTAAAACCATATGTAGAACTGAGGTTTTTTAATTTAAATGTATTTTTCATCTGAATATAGATGAAAATGTTGCTTTAAAAATATCATATTGAATAGGAAAAAGATGAAGGCCAACCTTATCTGATTGTAAATTATTTTCAGCTGAAGATAGCTGAGGTTCAATAGTGACAAAGATTGTTAAAAAGGTATAATCTTTCAAATTCTGCCCATTACAGTCTTCTTTAGGGGGAACATATGTCTTACTCCAAGTATATCCAAGCAAAATTGGTGGTGTATTTACTTGAAATGTACCACAGATCTATAAACACATAATAAACACATGCACATGATTTCAGAGACAAAAAATCTGATAACATGGCTGTATTAACATTGCTTTTTCAAAAGCAACTCAATATCTGGGGTTATATTGATAATATAATCTCTTGAAATTCATACTTTGTCTTGTTCTTTACCTTTGACTGTTCCAGGAGAGCAAAGAAAGGAAACGTAACTGATCCAAGCCAATTCTTTCTTACATAGGAATGACCACTACAGCTTTTTGGACAGGCATCCTAATAAAATACAAAACCTGGGTTAATCATTGTGTGTGTGCATGCACACACCCATACACATTAGTTATTTAGCAATGTTTTCATAACAGCTAAAATACTATCTTAATAGTATCTTACGTGCCTTTTTACCATTACCACCATGACCACAAAATTAATCTCCAGTACTGCTATTAAATAGATTTAGGATGCAATCCTATGGCCTCCTGACATCATCTGTCCTTGGTGCTCAGACTCTAATGGCTGAGTTCCCCACCCCACCCTGCTCACAACCAACACAGAAAGAACCATACCAGTTGCTTTTCCAAGAGCAGAGAGTGCCTCAAAGAGTGGGGAAAGGACATGCTGGGAAGAAAGAAGCCTGGGACCATCCACCTTCCTTGATTCTTCTTTTCACTCCAACCTTCTCCTGTCCCCTCCCCTCCCCAGCACTTTATCTAGATAAAGGCAGGTTGCTTACTGGTGGTTCTCTGAGTGGTCATCTATGCATTCACACATATGGGTGCTGCGCCTGCACAGTGCCTACAAGTATTTTCAGGAAGATTCTCTCAGCTATAACAGTTTTTGGTGGGAACTCTGCTCCCCCTCCCACTATTATAAATAGGCAGAATCCCTACCCTCTCGCCAGTCAGCTGAAGACTGCCTGATCGCCCCCATCTGGTACCAGCAAGGAAATGTAAGTTTAATTAAATTTGGAGAAATATGAACCCATTCACTGACACCGAAGTGGGGCTGGCAGGTGGCTTGTGTGAATGCACAGATGACCACTCGAAGAACAACAGTTACAGGTAAGCAACCTGCCTTTCTTCATCATGGTCTCTGTGCATCACACATATGGGTGATTAGCAAGCTTGCCCACCTGGAGGTGGAACGGGGTCACTATTGAAGGTCTGTGGATAAGACAGCATGGCCAAAGGAGCAGTCCTGTCTGGCTTTGATGTCTAAATGACAGTGCTTTATAAAAGTGCACGGGGTTGTCCATGTAGCAGCTTTACATAAGCTCTGTACAGGAATGCCCACATGTAGGGCAGGTAAGGTAGCTACAGCTCTGGTGGAGTGTCCTTTTGGGGACACTTGGCTGGTTGATATGAGAGTTGGATAGTTTCCACAAACTTCCATAAATAGTTAGTTTCCACAAATAAATAGTTTCCTATCCATTTTGATAGGCGTTGGGTCCCTATTAGTGTTCCTTTATCATGTTCAGAGTATTTAATGAATAGATGTTCAGTTTTTCTGAACAACTTGGTTCGGAACCGATAGAACACCAGGGATCTGCACACGTTGAGGCAATGTAAGGAACACTCAATCGGTGTCAACAGCGCTGGAAAATATGCTGGCAGGACGATGTCTTGATTGAGGTGGAACACTGTTGCTACTTTAGGGAGGAATGTTGGGTCCGTGCAAAGAATCACCTTCTCTTTATGAAAGTTAAGGTATGGGGGGGGGGGGTCAACCTGAAGAGTGCATATCTCACTAGCCCTTCTTGCGAATGTTATGGCGGCCAGGAAGGCTGTCTTCCATGAAAGCAGTTAGAAATCAACAGAGGCCAGAGGTTCAAATGGAGGCTCCGTTAATGCTTGTAGAACAATGGACAGGCTCCATGTTGGGATAATTGATCGGATTGGAGGCTGAACGTTTTGTAATCCTCATAGGAAGCGGCGTACTAACTGGTGGGAGAACACTGAATATGTCCTCTATGGTACGAAATGGCTGCAACATACACCATGCTGGAAGACAGTTTGAGATCCCAAGAGAGGTCAACAGACAGACCAGCAGTTCAGAGAAGCGTTCCATGTTTTCACCAGGTGATCCTGGGTCTTGAGCTGAAACCAAAAGGTCAGGGAATGTAGAAGCTTGCTCTGTGTCCTCTGAATCTGACTCCAAGTAATAAGTGGTGCTTGAGGATGAGGACTGTGCTGGAGATTCTCCCAGATGGGTGATGGCGGTCACTGAGGTTGTCGGAACCTCTTGAGATGGTGGTACATGTGGGAGAGGTCACTTCTGACACATTGGTGGTGGTGGGCATGGGTATCCATATGGTAGGTAGTACTCCCACGGATATCCAGGGTCGTAATGCCCAGGCCCAAATCCTCCATATGGAGGCAGCATCCAATATCAGCTCTGGTCGCGACGAGGTGGCTCAGTTTTGAAGGGTGGAAGCCAATGGATTATCTCAGTGAACCATCCCGGGAGAAGTGCCCATAGGGAGTTGGAATGGGAGGATGGGTAGGTTCATGGTGCTCATGGACAGATTGCACAAAACATTTGGAAGGGGCTGGAGAGTGAATAGGTGACTCTCGAATTTCTCCCTTCGATATCAAGGTCCACACCATCGGTTCGGGAGCTTGAGACTTGATCATGCTGAATTGAGGTCTTGGAGATGGCCCTGGAGAAGGGCTCAGTATGTGATGAGGAGATGGTCATGGTGTTGTGCAGATCAACAATGGACAAACTGAAGGCTCGCTCAGTACAGAGGTGCTTGATGGCATGAGATAAGGGAATGGCAGATCTTTCTGAGCCACGTGAGAATGCGTCTTGTGCTTCCTGCCAGGCTTGTCCTTCTTGGGATGCTTGACTTTAGCAGTCCCTTTGGTCTCAATATGTTTTCTTTTCTCCTTTCTTTTCTTAGGAGACTAAGACTGTTCTGAGTGCTTTTTCTTGGCTCTAGCACTCTCCCCTTCTTTGATATGGGGAGGAACATGTCTCTCAGAGGCAGAAACACCAGCCAGAGGAGCTGCAGTAGCCTCTCTCATCACCAACAATGCTTGGTCCCAAAGCAGCTTTTTGAGCGATTCTCTCAGTTCTTGCAAGCCTGATGAGTGAAGGGCAGGCAATGAACACATTTGCCCCCACAATGACCCCTACTGAGACAGAGCAGGCAGAGTGAATAAGGGTCAGTAGGCAACATCTTCACTCTGCACCGAGTGCATTTTTGGAAGGCAGAGTGCTGCGCCACTAAGAAAGTGAAAAGGAAAAGGGGGTAAGAGAGACGATACAATTCTTTTGTTACACACACACACACACACACACACACACACACACACTTTTGAGAGGTAGTTTGTGAGGGGAAGGGAGAGAGAGTTAGAGGAAAGGTTGTAAGATAAGTTTTAAAGATAAATGGAGTAAATTAGATTTTAAGAGAGAATGATAGTAAAGAGAGAACCCGAGGCACAGCGAGCGGTGGTTGAAAGCAGACTGGCAAGAGGGTGGTCAACCGGCTGGAGGGGCCTTGGAGGATCTGAGACTGTGTGGGTAAAAGTGCTGCTCTCCAATTCCCTTTTCTCTTTCCTACCCTCTTTTGTGTGTATGTTGTGAGATATAGTGTTTTAAACCCTCCACCCCTTGTGTGTTAACCCTGTCTTTTCATAAACCAGTTTTGCCAATGGTTGGGATGTCATGTGCTGAATCCACTGTCTGGCCCCGGGATTTGAGGACTGGGAGCAGGGCTGGAGAGTGCACCCTGCCAGCCACAGGGAGGTGGAGACTCCAGGGCAGCGGAACATTACACTGTGGAATAAGTCACAGTTCTACAAGAAATGCAGTTTATATTGGGGGAAAAAGCAAGTGATTTTTAATAGAAGTGAAGATGACAAAGGATTTGGAAGACTCTCCATTCTATTACAGAAAGCTAAATAAACTAAAATTTCTGTTACAGAAAGCTAAATAAACTATAAAATTGAAAATAAATTATCTGAAATAAAGTAGCTGGTATATAAAAGTAATATTCCCTTCCTTTAAAATATGCTATTAATTGCTAGAGTGCAAAATTGAAACTGTACTTATGCTGGACTCACTAATACACCTTTGATTTTTAAAAACACATACACAGTTTCTTCCAGTTAGGGACATTATTACTGTGTCTGATGCCTGCTATGCTTATTTAAAAATGAACAGCCTTTTATATCTGCAATTTACCTCATGCTTTTCAATCACAAATTCATCAAAAATGTTAATATTTATGATGTCTTTTATTTTAGATAATCCTGAAAAAGTATAATCATGCCCTGGAGAGCTGAAAAAAAGAAATAAATATTTTAAATTAAATTAAGAAAAGCCACATTCTCTTGCATTGTACTCAATCTAGAAACAGAAAGAAAAGACAATTTGGAAAACACACTATGTAATTGATAAAAATATTGTACCTTTGATTTAAATATCTGCAAGCAGTTCTACTTTTGGATGCAAGTGCTAACCCTCTCTTCCAAAAAGTATGTACATACACATAGCATGACAACATGTAAGTGCCACCAAAGCCATGAGATATGAATTGCATGCCCCAGAGCTCATGATGTGCCCATAGATGGGGAAAAGCCATATGAGGCAAGACTGATGGAAGTGGGTCTCTTCAGCATGGAGAAGAGGAGACTCCGAGGGGATCTGTTGGCGACATACAGGTATGTGAGGGGAGGTGGGTAGAGACCTGTTCTCCCCTGCAGAGGAGGGCAGGACGCGCTCCAATGGAGCAAAGCTCAGGGAACTTCAATTTAGATGCCAGGAAGTGCTTCCTGACAGCTAGGGCCCCTAGAGTATGGGATGGGCTTTCACGGGAGGTGGTTGAGGTCCCATTGGTGAGGGTGTTCAAGGATAGGCTAGACATGCACATGGTGGGCATGTCATGAGTAGAGCCGGCTGGAGCTGGGGGTCAAACTGGATGGCCTGGAAGGTCCCTTCTGACTCGCGCTGTTTCTGTTTTTCTAACTCTTGTACTTCCCAGCAAGCCCAAAAGGCTATCCCCTTGCACTACTTGGGCATTTTGGATTTGGCTGATAGCAACACTCTTGCTCATTACCCACTTGGCAAGAGCATCAAGGTTTTTGATGCTCAGCTTGACCCATGATAGCCAAACAAAAATGTGGTCATAGAAAATTGGAATTCACACTGAATGGTTTACATATTACATAGATTGTATTAAAAGTGAAATACTGGTAACTCACATAAAATCCACTTGAAGTTCTTCATTCCAACATGGATGAGAGCCATCTGCAGTACTAGTCCGATATACAGTGTTCTGAAATTCAACTTCTACAAAAGGATGAACAGACACCTAAAATAGACACATTTAGTACATAGTTAAATGTAGTTATATTTTAACTAATTTTCAAATCTATTTATTGTGGGAATTTACTTTATTACAAAAATAAGGAAGTTTTCTTGTAGATTATGGGAACATTTAAAAAAATCTTTAAAGCCACTTCATGTACACAGCAGAATAAAGTGGCAAAGTTTGGGGCATTTTTCTGCTGTAGGTAAGTTGTATCTATGAATGCTTTCCTGTGAAAAGAAAACCTACATATAGTAAAATAGCTTATCAAGAAAAATGGCTATGAAGGATACTGCTATGCTATCAACATTAAACATGCATTTTAGAAGAATCCTACTCTGTAAGGTAAATACACCATTTCACAGCAACAAATAATACATTGTGTTTTTCTAGGGCAGGAAGAACAACTTCCAAATGTTTTTCATTGAAGCTAAGTGAAATCTTACCAGCAGGTCACAGGCATTGATCCTAACACATACTGCTCCGCCCCTTCACAAGGTAAACATCAACATGGACCCACCAAATAGCATTCGAATTAACTGAAATGTCCAATATTCTGATGTAGAAAACATAGTTGACAAAAAGTGTCTTCTTCATTTAATAATGTTTTTTTTAAAAACAGAGCACAAGACACAATTTAATGTATGGCTGTTCAAGTCTTTAAATAAATACCTACACAAATGATTTGGAAATCTAATTTAGAGAGCAGAAAAATTGTAATTTTGTAATTACCTCACTTAGAAGATCAGCATTATAGGCTGGATTTCCTGACATAGTATGTCTGCCTCGAGACATACGATTTGGTAAAAAAGATGGCGAATGAGCAGCCACAACCCTTGAGGTGGTAAACAAGAATGGTAAACATATCATTAAAATGAATGAATGGTGTAGTTCCATTGAGTAGAAGTACAACATTTCATTAAGTTTTCCTGATCAAGATGCATTATTCATTATTTTGTCCAAGTGGTCAAGCACAAAGAAAATTATTAACTAACATTACTTTTCATATCCAGAATGGAGACATGAGACACAAGGTATGGGTTAAATAAAGGGCTTTATTTACTTTACTGAATAAGCTAATATCTCTACTGGGCAAACTAACCCTAATTGCATCAGTAGCAGTGGTGGTGGCATCTAACTTCTATACTGCCCAGAAGCCAAAGTTTTCTGATTAAGTAATTATCAAAGCCCCAGTAAACTAAGTAAATGACCTGTGGTAGAGCACTGTCCAAACTAACCTGGTGCTAAACAGATAGTAAAGTTGGTGCCAGGAGAAGCCTCATTGGGGAGCTCTTTCCAAAACTGGGAGGCCACCACTAAAAAGGCCCTTCTCCTTGTTGCCTCCTTCAGAGGTGGTAGTTGGTAGTAGGTCCCAGAACTCAATTGTAGTGCCTTGGTCAGGAGAGGCATTCCATCAAGTAATGTGGCCCCAAGCCATTTAGAATTTTATATATTAAAACTAGTACCTTTAAATTGGTCTTAGAAACATATTGGCAGTTAGTGCAAGTGGACCATAGTTGGTGTTATACGCTCAGACCATCTAGTCCATGTCATTAGTCTGGCTGCTGTGTTTTTTTCTGAGTTGCAGCTTCCAAACAACCTTCAAGGGCAGCCCCACATAGAGTTTATTCCAGTAATCTTGTTTAGAAATTATCAGAGTATAGATTACTGATAACAGGCTATCTCTGTCCAGATATAGGTGTAGCTGGGCCACCAGGCAAAGCTTAAACTTAAACATAAAATGTCTAGTTATTAGTAAACAAGGCTGCCAGTGAACTGAAAAGTTGGCTACTTGCCCTCTGAGACTGCTCTTCAGATTAGACTCAGCTGTTTTGAGGTATTTTTGTTCATTGTTTCTAAAATTTGTAAGAACAAACTGTCATGTCAAATCCTGACTCAAAGTTTAAAGTAGGCTTTTCCTGCCCTCCAATCGTGCAAACTTGTGTTGCAGCTTCCACTAGTTTTATTTTTTGTATTAACACTTAGGCAAGTATTTATTTATAGATTTTTGACTTTGTTTTTGAATATGCTGTTGCAAAACAATTTGATTAGATTTAGTGATTATGTTAAATGTGCATTTTCACAAAAGCCCTACACATCTTCATGCTAAAACAGTCTTACACAGCACAGTACAATTTCAGATAAAAATAGAACATGCTAATAATTAGAGAATACAGTAAAGTATTAACTATGTTTTAAGATATAATATGTATAACTTATAGGTTCTACTAATAATTATACTTTTTTCACTGCATTTCCTTGTAAATACATTTCTTTCTACCCTAACATTTCTGCCTCATGCTGTCTTTCACTTAGCAAACTTTAAGCTACCTTTCATAGCTGAAAACATTTACCTCAGCATTTGTAGTAGTTATTCCTAAAGGCTATACTATATTTTCCACTCTAGAAGTTAAGTAATGCATTTAACTGGAAAGTTAATAATGAAACTAGAATAACAGAATAAGAAATCTGTCTATACTTTCCTGTATATATATCCAGTGATTATACATAATCTTATGCAAGAATGAACAATTTAGGAAATATATACATACTTAGTCCCTGGTGCTTTTCTAGCAGGAATATTATATGCTCTCAATATTCTGATGAGAAGCTTAACATCTCCATCAGAGACAGCCTGTGCTGGGACCTTCCGTCTTTCCTTTCTTTGTGGTTTCAAATGTCTTCTGCGTTCACCTAGCTTGAAAATTGCATTACTAAGTTGGCTGAATAAAAAAAAGCGAAGCAATTTAGGTCAGAGTTATCCAAATGCATATAAAGAATATGTAGACCTTAATTATGCATTTGGTAACTTCAAATGTAATAAAATTACGAAAACTTAGTTCTGAGCAATATGAAGGCCCTTCAATGGTTTTCTGCCTTCATTTTTCTTGTAATAAAAAGAACTGAAACAATTTAATAATGGGGACTAAGAGATCAATCCTATAACCCTAGATGCTGTTATATAACCTATAACAGCATCTAGGGGGCCACAGCATACTTCCAATTCCCCTATCTGAGGGTGAAAACTGAGTTCCAACCTCAGGACTGGCCATTTGCACTGCCATCCCACTCACCAGTTCAAGGTCAAAATGAAAAGAACCATGCATGGTGTTTCTCTGAGGCCTGACAAATGATGTAAGAAAAGAACTAAAGAAGGTAGGGAGCACCTCAACAAATGCAGCACTACAGGAGGTGGGGAGCACCTCAGCAACTGCAGAGTAGGAGGCAGAGGGAGGTTATCTCTGCTATTACCTTTGCTACTCCTCCCATTCTGCATTGTATGATCATAAGCCCCTGTATTTGGAGGCTTCTAAAGAGATTACACAGCCCAACCCAATTTAAAAGAAAAATCTTTGAATTTATACTGTAATATACCTCATAGATATGATTTCTTCATAATCACTCACAATATCTGATAAATTATATTTGTGCCTGATGGTCACAATTCGTTTTGTAACTTGTTTCTTCATCTGTAAAAAATGTATTTAATAAATGGAATTTGAAACTAAATTTTCATGAGTGTAGCTATGTAGACAAAATTTCTTATGGGGATTGTTTCCTAGTACATTAAGAATAACCATTAAAAACAGTCACTGATCAGTAAGGAAAATTTTCTGGTAGAGATATTCATTACTCAAAGCAATGTGTATTGCTGGGAAAGCTTCTACCTTGAGTACAAAAGACAAAGGAGGTGGTGGCATCTGAAGGTAAAACAACATGCTACATTCAGAGGATGTGAAACATGAGTGGAGAAAGAGTAAAACGCTATTGCCTCAAAGTCTTCAACTTTTAGCAAATTTAAGTTTCCCAGTAGAACTGTATTCTACCTAAAGAGGAATTTTTGCTGATGTAGTGGTAACATCCTGGCAAGCATGTCAAATTGAAATAACATCACATGTGACACAATGAGGTTTTGAGCCCAAATCAAATTGAAATAATACATACCTCTGTTTCTAACACAGCATGCAGATTGCAATAATTTATTTTCTAATATTAAATATATGAAATGTCATACCATCCTAACAAAATTGGCAGAACAGTTCCTTTGTGCAGAAATAGGATCCACATCTGTCAGCAATATGTCATTTTCTAATTGGCTTCCATATTCCTAAAAATAAGAATTAGGTTATCATTAATTAAGCCTTATTATTTAGTTGCTGTGATTAATTAGTATTGAGATTGCTACAGTTACATTCTATTTTACCATTAAATATGGAGTATCTTCTGATTTTAAGTACTTGGGTTCTGCAGAGTTTAATTATTTCTATTCATTTTGTTATATGAGTGAATTTATTACCTGATTTTCCCTATTTCAGTATTTTATGTTTTACCTCTCTTATTCAAACTTCTTTCTTGTTGTTGTTGCTGCATGCTATCTCCTATTTATGCACTCCAAGAATAAATGCCCTCCAATATGTCCTGTCCTTGCTCTTAACAAAATTGATAATTGTTGATCGTATAATGGTTATGTTACTTCTTAAAGGGGAAGGCTGAATAGGGAAGGACTGCATCTTCTAGCAAACTTCTCCAAATCACACAAAAAGCAAAAGAATGTTATTTTGGACCATGAGAAACAATTCAAATCCATGGTTGGACAATATCTTTATCAGGACCAATTGAAATACTCCTAAGAGTGACCATGTTTTCTAGTTCTCCAGAATCTTCATCGGACCAGACAAATTAGAGGAGGGTACCTAGAAAAGAAAATAATGATGGTACAGAATCTTGATATTGAAAATATGAAGTCTGCTCTTAGTCACAGTCTTATAAATATGAATTATAAAGAGAGAAAGGAGAAAATAAAGAGAAGATGGAAAGAATATACAGAACTATTCAAAAGAGATGAAAGGATGACAGACCTCTTTCAATCAGAATGGCAGAAATGAGATGGTTGAAAGCAAGTGTGTGAAATGTTCTCCTGATTGGTGTCTAGGGTGTTTAAAAGAAAGCCAGGAGTATTATGTCTTGAAAGGTCAAGGAGACCTTTGGTCAGAATGTAAGTTCTAATTGCAGGACCACCTGCTCCTTATGGAAGTTTAGATATGGGGGAATCTACCCTAAGCGCACATAACACACTTGCTCTAAGAGCTGAGGTAATGGCTACCAAAAAGGGGACTTTCCATGAAAGAAGGTGGAGATTGGTGGTTGCGTGTGGTTCAAAACGAGGTTTTGACAGAGCTTGTAACACCACCGATAGACTCCTGGAGGGATCTAACAATTGGGCAGAGGGATCAGGATTGTGAGGGCCCTTCAAAAGAGGATCCGTCTATTCTCTATTGGACCTCTGAAGCAGGAGGTAACAGAGAAGTAGACCTTTATAGAAGTTGGTTTCAGACCTTTTTGATGTAGGAAGTGACATCGTGTAGGGAGTGGAATTCTAACATTTTGTGTATTGGCGCCCTCATTGGGTTGAAGGCATGTTCGGTTGTGTAACTCCTGAATTTGTTCCATTTAATAGAATACAAATGTCTAGTGTTGGGATGGAGTGCTGCTTGTAACACGAATTGTATTTGTGGGTCTAAGCCGGCAGTTTCCACCACTAGATGGTCAACCAGCCTGTGAGATGAAGACTCTGGACATCGGAATGCAGAATTTTCTCCTGCTCCTGGGTAATCAGGTGTGGCATTTCTGGGAGGCGTAGGAAAGTCCAGGTGGATAGATGTAGGAGGGACAGGAACCAAGACTGTCTTGGCCACCAAGGTGTTATCAAAATGCAAGATGTTCCCTCTGTCCATATCTTTGCAATCGTCCTGGTAATAAGAGAAAAAGGTGGAGATGCATAAAATAGAGTCCCTTTCCAGAGAAGACGGAATGCAACTCCGAGAGAATTCTATCCCATGCCAGCTCAGGAATAGTAAGTGTTGCATGCTGCACTGGCCTCTGCATTGGTGCCCCACATTGAGAAAATGCAGTGTCTCACATCTGCATTCAGTTCCCATTCGTGCAGTTGGAATGAGGTCCAGCTGAGTGCATCTGCCATCGTATTCCTTGTGCCAGCCACATGGACTGCATGAAGGGATATCCCCCTTCGGATACACCAATCCCATATACGAATGTTCAAGCAAGTTAAAGCTATAGTTCTTGTGCTACTCTGCTTGTTGGTATAGAAAAACATTGTTGTGTTGTCGGAAGCCACTTGAATGTGCCTTCCAATTAGTACATTCTGCAGTAAGATCAATCCTTACTGAACCACAAGGAGCTTTAGGTTATTTTATGTCTCTAGCATGCCGTGCAGGGCCACCTAAGACGGAAAGGTCATAGCAGAGAGCTCTGACAAAACCTGATCCACTGGAGAAGGAAATGGCAACCCACTCCAGTATCATTGCCATTAAAACCCCATGGACAAACCCCAAGGCAAAAAGATATGACGCTGGAAGATGAGCCCCTCAGGTCAGAAGGTGTCCAATGTGCTACTGGGGAAGAGCAGAGGGCTAGTACTAGTAGCGCCAGAAAGAATGAAGCGACTGGGTCTAAGCCAAAAGGACACTCAGTTGCCGATGTATCTGGTGGTGAAAGAAGAGTCCGATGCTGTAAAGATCTATACTCCATAGGAACCTGGAATGTAAGATACATGAATCAAGGCAAGCTGGATGTAGTCAAACAAGAGATGACAAGACTGAACATCGACATCTTAGGAATCAGTGAACTAAAATGGACAGGTTTGGGTGAATTTAATTCAGATGACCATCAGGTATACTACTGTGGGCAAGAATCCCTCAGAAGAAATGGAGTAGCCGTCATAGTCAATAAAAGAGTAGGAAAAGCAGTACTGGGATACAATCTCCAAAATGACAGAATGATCTCAGTACGAATCCAAGGCAAATCATTCAACATCACAATAGTCCAAGTCAATGCCCCAAAAACTGGCGCTGAAGAAGCTAAAGTTGACCAGTTCTATGAAGGCCTACAACACCTTCTAGAATTAACACCAAAAAATGATGTCCTTATCATCATGGGGGATTGGAATGCTAAAGTAGGAAGCCAAAAGATAACCAGAATAACAGGCAAGTTTGGCCTTGGAGTACAAAATGAAGCAGGGCACAGGCTGGTAGAATTTCCTCAAGAGAATACGATGGTCATTGCAAACACTCTTTTCCAACAACCCAGGAGACAACTCTACACATGGAAATCACCAAACGGTCAACACAGAAATCAGATTGACTATGTGCTCTGCAGCCAAAGATGGAGAATCTCTATACAGTCAGTAAAAACCAGACCAAGAGCTGAGTGTGGCTCACATCATGAGCTTCTTGTTGCAAAATTTAGGCTTAAATTGAAGAAAGTAGGGAAAAGCACTAGGCCACTCAGGTATGACCTAAATCATATCCCTGATGAATATACAGTAGAGGTGACAAATAGATTTAAGGAATTAGATCTGATAGACAGAGTCCCTGAAGAACTATGGATGGAGGTTTGCAACATTGTACAAGAGGCAGCAACTAAAACCATCCCAAAGAAAAAGAAATGCAAGAAAGCAAAATGGCTGTCTGAGGAAGCTGTACAAATAGCTGAGGAAAGAAGGGAAACAAAAGGCAAGGGAGAAAGAGAAAGATACACCCAACTGAATGCAGAATTCCAGAGAATAGCTAGAAGAGATAAGAATGCCTTCTTAAATGAACAGTGCAAAGAAATAGAAGAAAACAATAGAATAGGGAGGACCAGAGATCTCTTCAAGAAAATTGGAGATATGAAAGGAAGATTTCATGCAAAGATGGGCATGATAAAGGACCAAAATGGCAGGGACCTAAAAGAGGCAGAAGAGATTAAGAAGAGGTGGCAAGATTACAGAGAGGAACTATACAAGAAAGAGCTTAATGTCCCTGACAATGGGGTGGTCACTGACCTCGAGTCAAACATCCTGGAATGTGAAGTCAAACGGGCCTTAGGAAGTCTGAGCAACAACAAAGCTAGTGGAGGCGACAGTGTTCCAGCTGAGCTATTCAAAATCCTAAAAGACGATGCAGTAAAAGTACTACACTCAATATGCCAGCAAATTTGGAAAACTCAACAGTGGCTACTGGATTGGAAAAGGTCAGTTTACATTCTGATCCCAAAGAAGGGCAATTCCAAAGAATGTTCAAAACTACCGCACCATTGCACTCATTTCACATGCTGGCAAAGTTATGCTCAAAATCCTACAAGCAGGGCTCCATCAGTATGTGGACCGAGAAGTACCAGAAGTATAAGCAGGATTTTGAAGAGGCAGAGGAACTAGAGATCAAATTGCCAACATACGCTGAATCATGGAGAAAGCCAGGGAATTCCAGAAAAACATCTACTTCTGCTTCATTGACTATGCTAAAACCTTTGATTGTGTGGATCACAACAAATTGTGGCAAGTTCTTAAAGAGATGGGAGTACCAGACCATCTTATTTGTCTCTTGAGAAACCTATATGTGGGTCAAGAAGCAACAGTGAGAACTGGACACGGAACTACTGATTGGTACAAAATTGAGAAAGGAGTTTGGCAAGGCTGTATACTGTCACCCTGCCTATTTAACTTATATGCAGAGGACATCATGAGAAAGGTGGGGCTAGATGAATCACCAGTTGGAATTAAGATTGCTGGGAGAAATAACAACAACCTCAGATATGCAGATGATACCACTCTCATGGCAGAAAGCGAAGAGGAACTAAAGAGCCTCTTGATGCGGGTGAAGGAGGAGAGCGCAAAGGTTGGCTTCAAACTCAACATTAAGAAAACTAAGATCATGGCATCCAGTCCTCTCACTTCCTGGCAAATAGATGGGGAAGAAATGGAGGTAGTGACAGATTTTATTTTCCTGGGCTCCAAGATCACCGCAGATGGGGACTGCAGCCAAGAAATTAAAAGACGCTTGCCCCTGGGGAGGAAAGCTATGGCAAATCTAGGCAGCATACTAAGAAGCAGAGACATCACCCTGCCAACAAAAGTGCGTATAGTCAAGGCTATGGTTTTCCCAGTTGCAATGTATGGCTGTGGAAGTTGGACATAAGGAAGGCTGAGTGCCGAAGAATTGAGGTCTTTAAATTGTGGTGCTGGAGAAGACTCCTGCGAGTCCCTTGGACCACAGGGCGATCAAACCGGTCAGTCCTAGAGGAGATCAACCCTGACTGCTCTTTAGAAGGCCAGATACTGAAGATGAAACTCAAATACTTTGGCCACCTAATAAGAAGGAAGGACTTCCTGGAGAAGAGCCTAATGCTGGGAACAATAGATGGCAAAAGAAGAAGGGGACAGCAGAGGTTGAGGTGGCTAGATGGAGTCACTGAAGCAGTAGGCGTGAGCTTAAGTGGACTCCAGGGGATGATGGAGGACAGGAAGGCCTGGAGAAATGTTGTCCATGGGGTCGTCATGGGTCGGACACGACTTCGCGACTAACAACAACAAGCATTCTGATCCAGTCCAAATTCCCTGCAACTGGTACATTCCACAGTGAGTGCCTCAACCAGAGAGAGATGTGTTTGTGATTAGTGTCACCATCACTTCTGGTGGCATGAAAGTCATTCCTTGTGTCAGGTTGGACTTATCTATCCACCAGGAGAGGCTTGTTCATATTGATGGAGGAAGTATGGGGAGCTTCCTGGGATGGTATACTCTTGTGAACCACAACTGGAGTGGTCTCATGCAGAGTCTTGCGTATTGCACCAGTGCCACAGTTGACGCCATATGGCCTAGTAGTTGTTGGATTTTTCAAATGGTAGACCTTGGTTCAGAACACAGTTGATGAGTCAGCTGTATGAGTTTCTTCACCTGCTGTGCAGGTAGGTAGGCGCGTCTAGGTGGGCCCTGATGTATGTGGTTGACTGTGAATCCATGTGAAGCATGGATTTTTCGTCATTTATTCATAGTGCAAGTTGTTCTAGGAATTCACATATTGTCGAAATGGATGCTAAAAGTTCATGTTCAGAAGAAGAGACTAGCAGCCATTCATCTAAATAGGGGTGGATCTGTATCCTTTGAAGTCTTAGATGGGTACATGCAACAGACATTCTATGGTAAAAACCCACAGTTCCATAGATAGGCCAAATGGTAATACTTAGAATTCATAAGGGTTGGTATCAATCTGGAGTCAGAGAAAGTGACCATGGTGCAGGTGAATGCTTATATGAAAAGAGGCATCCTTCAAATCTATGGACACAAACCAGTCCCCTCTTTGCAGCAATGGCAAAATGCCTCGGAGAGACATGGACTTTTTGGAACTTTTTGGTCATAATGAAATTGTTCACTCCACATAGGTCTGAAATTGGATGTTGACTACCATCTTTCTTCAGAAAGGTAAAGTACCTCAAATAGAAACTGCTGTACTTCATATAAGTCAACTGGCTGGATTGCACCTTTTGCTAGAAAGGTGTCAACTTCCTCTATTAGAACCGGAGAAGAGGGAGCTTATTAGAATGTTGTGGGGCACTAAGTCAAAAGCTTTGCTAAAGTCAATGTAGATTATATCCATAGTGTTTCCTCTGTCTTTCTGGGATATTACCCAGTCAAAAAATGAAATTAAGTTGGTCTGACAGGATTTATTTTTGATAAATCCATGCTGGCTTTTATAAATCACTGCATTGGACTGGCATCTCTCACTTTCAGCTTGTATTCCCTCTTGGTTGTAGATTTTCTTGTGGAAGAAAACAAAGGCAGAGCAGGAATTGAGCACCTCTGCCTTTCCTTGTTGTCTGTCATGACTCTGCCATTCACTTTAAGTAGCTGGACACATTCCTCATTCACATGTCTTTTGTTTTGAATGTATCTGAAGAGGGCTTTCTTGTTGTTCTTAGCATCACTTGGTATTCTCAGTTCATTTCCTGCTTTAGCCTTCCTGAGACCATCCCTGCAATTCCTTGCTATTTTTTATACTTTTCCTTTGTGATCTGGCCCCATAACTCCTATACCTGTTCTTTTTTTTTTTTTTTTTTTTTGCTTTCATACAAAGCAACACACAACCCATGTCTAAAAATACTTATCATTGTGAATAAATGTGATAAATATGTCATATGTAAGAGTTCTAAGCAGGAATTGAATAGAAAACTGCATTGTCCCATTTTACCTAATCAATGGATTGCCACTTTTGTAACTATAACTGCCCTGTCTGTGGATTTTATGCTGTGACTTATGCAGCAAAAATGTTTGTTTCATGTCTAGATGCCACAACATCTCTTTACTAAGGGTTTCTATAATTTGCAGAATTGCTAGCAGTGCAATGAAGCTAAAGTTTCATTTAAAAACATTTATTTATTACATTGATATCCTGAATTTTTCTCACAATTAATTCAAAGTACATCAGTGTCCTCCTACTACTCTCAAGCTGATTCCCACAACAACAACCCTGTGAGGTAGGTTGGGCAGAGAGTATGTGATTAGCCCAAAATCACTCAGTTGGCTCCATGGCTGAGCAAGAACTGAAACCCAGATCACCTGAGTCCCAGTTTCACACTCTTAACCACTACACCACACTGGTTTCCAGTTTTGGCAATGTTCAGTAGTTGCTTCTTTTTGGGAGAAGGTTAATATTGATGATAATTTTTTTTACTAGAACAATTTTTAATATTTGCAAATATACATGCTCCTTTAAAATATTTACCTGCTTTTCAGAAATTAACAAAAGATCAGCATAAATGTATTTTCTGCACTCTTTCAACAACTAAAAGCAGATATTGCAACATTGGGAGGATTTATGGAGGCAGCAGATGGAGGGCCTGACAAACTTCAAATAGATGAATGAGTAGCATATAAACATAACCTAAAAATGAGAACATATTTGGAGTTTCTGGTCCGCTTTTCTTGATGCTTATGTATGATTGCCAGAAAGTTGCATTTCATGCATATTTTATATGTAGTAATTCTTATGGATATATACATAATGATAGAATTAATGAAATTCTTAATTATAATGCAATTATAAATAAGTATGTAAGTATCTGCAAGTATATAATTTCCCTTTTTAAGTCTTACTTTTCATTAATTTTCTTCTTTAAAAAAATCACAATAAAAATAATTTTTAAAAAATACCTGGAAGACTGTGTCTGGTATCTCTCTGTCATATAAAGGAATTTGCTGAAAACAGTAGAAACCCAACTGTCCTAAACTTCTCAGCTGCAACAGCTGAAAACGTTTACAATTTTTAATCTCTTCTGCAGTAACAAAGTTAAATTCTTCTTGCAACTGTTCAAGACGAAAGTATTTTGAATCACTTTGCTCTTGGGTTTTTGCATACTATCAGAAAATAACAAATGTAAGTCAGATTATTTAGCAGGTTAGTTAAGTACAATAAACATTTATATTTTGAAGACCTACAAACATTGCTTAAGAAGAATTTCTAATGTTACATTGCTGGTTTGTTTAAGAAGAGAAAGCAGAACTATTTGAGGAACAGTTAAATGCACAAAGCATTTGCAGATCAGAAAGAGGAGATGCATGGATCTAGCAGACCTAGTTAACAAGCTCTATATAATCCATGTCAAGCACATCTGACCTTTCTGGAAAGGTTCAGGAATGATAGATTCTCCTTTCAGCTGATTTGAACTTAATTTATATGCTAGTATCTACATGGCAGATATAGACATGAGATCCTATATGGATTAGTGATGGTATAAAATATTTTAAATTACATAAAAATATAATGTTATAGCTTTACTTCAAGCAAATAGTAAAGTCAATGAATCCACATTTCACTGCCACACATTTGTCACTGAATTGTGTATAGAAACACTATTTTCCCCTGTTAATATTTTGTTATATTTATATAATCTTGTGACCTCTCTGGACTTATAACAGTTGTGGTTGCCTTGGTTATGGTGGCTTAGGAAAAGAGGCTTCAGACTGAGCTTAAAAATGTGTAAAAGAAAGAGGATACTTTTGTTTGAACACATCAAGTGGATCAACCAAGGCAATTGGCAATTAGGACTTTCATAGGGAACATGATCAGCGAAGAGATCTGGAAAAATGCTTAGTTACACACAGTTTGGAACAGCTGGGAGCCACTTGGTGAAGCTGGGGTCAATGAGGCTATTCCACAACATGGTGAGGCTGTGGGGCATGTGCAGCCAATTATGAATACTGGTAGTACCTAGGTTTAGAACAAGTTCCATTCCAGGATCTAGAGCAGTGGTGGCGAACCTACGGCACACATGCCACAGTGGGCACGCAGAGCACTCCCTATCGGCACACGAGCCAAGTCACCTGAGCAGCGCCCCAGCAGCTGAGCATCAGATAATAACACACATAGGGGCAATGTGCATGCTTGGAAAGGAGTAGCGGTGCCAGGCGATGATGTCACAAGCCACTACTCATTAACCGTGACTTATCCGAGCTTTCACATGTCCGGTCAGTGTGCTGCATATATACGCTTGGACTGGCTGTGAGTTGTTTTTTCTAAACTAAAACCTCAGTTTTCAGGTTTTATTGCAGTGTTGGCACTTTGTGAAAATTAAGTGGGTTTTAGGCTGCAGTTGGGGCACTCAGTCTAAAAGAGTCACCATCACTGGGTTAGGATTAGAAAAACGAGGTGTCCTGGCATGATTTTGATGGTTGGAATGTGTTTAGAATGGGCAGAAATGTTGAGCTGTGCAGAAAAAGCTACTAAAGGAAGGCTTTTTCCAAATCACCCTCTTTTCAATGGAACTTTCACCCTATATTAGGTTGAAATTTTTTATTTAAATAAAAACATACTACAAAGGTACAAAAGGCCCAAAAATTGTAACATTACAAAAATAGAAAATACCCCATCCGTTATTTACATGGTTTCAAAATGCCAAATGTACACACATTTACAAGATTTAGGGGTGTGCACCAGGGTAGGGTTGGGGCAGTGCTGGTGAACCTATGTCACACGTGCCACAGCAGGCACGCAGAGCCCTCTCTGTCAGCACACAAGCCAAGTCAACCCAGCATCACTGCAGCAGGCAAGCATCAGATAACAGCATACGTAGGGGCCATGCGCATGCTCGGAAAGGAGTAGCAGCACCAGGCAATGACATCACAAGCCATGACTCATTAGCCGCAACTCGTCCAAGCTTTCACATGGCTGGTCAGTGTGCTGCCAAGGAGATATATATATATATATATATATATATATATATATATATATATATGTTTTTTTCTAAGCTAAAACCTCAGTTTTCAGGTTTTATTGCAGTGTTGGCACGTGATAAATAAGTGGGTTTTGGGTTGCAGTTTGGACACTCGGTCTCTAAAAGGTTTGCCATCACTGATCTAGAGGCAACCAGAAGAGCTCGAAGCAACAAGAAGTTAGCTATACTGCCTCTTTCCTTGTGAGATGGGACTTAATGGAATTTGAGCTGAGGGAATAGCTACTAAGAACTTATTAGGAGGGAAGTTTCTCTTATTGGGAAAAATAATAAAAGATAATTATTTTAAGTACATTTATGGATTCTGTCCCATAACTTGAATTATAACACACTATTCTCTGGTACATATAAATTCCTTGATAAGTACCTTAGTTATTGATATCTTCTTTCTAGTGGCAGGTTGCTTACCTGTAATTGTGATTCTTTGAGTAGTAATTTGTTCATTCACAAATATGGGTTTTGCACTTGCATTAGAGCCTCATTTAGGAAACTTCTATAGCTGAATAGTTTTGGCAGGAAACCTTGCCCACCATCTACTACACAAATCCATAGGGGTCCCTGTCTTCTCCTTCAGTTGCAATGAAATCAACATTGTGACCCTGGAAACAAGGGAGTGTCTTGGCATGCAGCTGGATACATATATGTACATTTATACCACCTGATAAAGAAAATATAAGCTCCATAGGTACGAACACTGAAGGTGACATTGACACCAGAGTGGAAACAGTGGGTGGGTTCTGTGAATTCTAGGAACACTAAAACTTCCTGCTAATGGGCTCTACTCAGGCACAGAGCCCCTATGTGTGATGCACAGAGACCACAAAGAGCCACAATCACAGATAAGCAACCTGTCTTTCTTTGCAGTTTCTGTGCATCATTCATATGGGCAAATAGCAAGCTGGTCACTTACCAAAGGTGGGAGGATGAGACTGCCTGCCCAAAAGGGCAATCTGCCCTCACTCTTATTTCCACAGGTGTGGTAAATAATGATCCAGATTAAGTCTCAACATGATAAACATCTAATGGGGGTATTCTTTTTGCAAATGCAACCAAGGCCATGACACCCCTTATATAATGTGTTCTCAGGTGGCTTATAAATGGAAGACCTGCCAGATCATAGGCCATCTGAAAATGGGAGGTCCTGTTTCTGACCCCCACAACAAAGAAATAACTGCAGAGGTTGACAAAGGGCTCAGTTCTGAACTGACAGAAAGCTAATGCCTTTCTAATATCCAAAGTGTGTAAAGTTCTCTGAAACTCCGACAATGGTGCAGGGGAAAAGAGGGGGCACAATGTCCTAAGTGGAAAGGAAAAACCACCTTAGGTAGAAAAGTCACATTAGAATGGAGAACAACTTTATATTTATGGAAAGTCAAGTAAGGTGTATTGATGCAAAGTCCATACAATTCACTAACTCCACAAGCAGAGGTTATTGCTACCAAGGAGGCTACCTTCCAAGAAAGGAAACAGAGGTCCATTGTAGCCATTGGCTCAAATGGCTTTTCTGTGAAGGAATGCTGTACAACAAATAGGCTTCATTGAGGAATTGGTGTTTGTTCCAAAGGAATGGTATTTTGAACTCCATGGAGAAGCTCTGGAGTATCAGGAGCAGAATTTGTCCTGTAACTATGACAGCAGGGCTGTCTGAATTGCAACCTTCACAAGGACAGAGTCCACTCCCAACTGCAACATTAGTGATGACAGGATCATCTTAAGAACAACTGCACTGGGTTTCCATCAAAACTCTTTCAGCTATAGAAACTTCCTGAAGACAGGCTCCATACAGGTGCAGAGCCCATATGTGTGATCTACCAAGACCACACAGAAGAACTTGTTTTATTTGCTTCAGCTGCCTTGTTTGTTTCACTAAATATATATCCTGTGACAGACACCTCCATCATATCTCATTTTTGTTAGAGGAATCAAAGTTATAAGCATTGAAGAACAAAAGAAAATGAAAAAAGAACAGGTAAAGTCTGGAACAAGTACAGTTCTGACTCAATTAGTATGTAAAATAAATACGGAATCATGATGAATTAAAATTGGGGACAAATGAATTCCAGACTAACAAAATATACTCCTAGACTATTAGACTCGATCTATGTTTACATGACTATCCTGAAATCAACATCTTAAGAACAGATGATATAATTCCTTAATTTCTAAAATACTGTTTTCCCCTAAAAGCAAACTTAATTGTTAATATTAAAATTTTATCATTACCATAATTAACTCAAACAAATCTGAATAGTCAGGGTCATTTGGATCAATCTTGGTTTGTTTTGCCCAATCCATAACTTTCTGTATATCAGAATGCCACCACATTCCAGTTCCATTTCCTGAATAACTATTCCTTAGCGCACTAAAAACAAGAGAGACAGAGAGAGAATGCTCAACTTAATAGTAAGGCTCAATCATGCCATTGTTTGGGCTTTGTCTCCTTTAACACAGTTTTGGAGGGGTCTCACAAAAAAGAAAGCAATTGTAAGGGGGGAAGGTTTTGCTATCTCTTCTATCTGATTCAGACAGCCTTATTCCTAACCACTAGCAGGCTTCTTTTTCTTTCTGTTTGTATCTTCTTCTTTTTTCTGTTTGTATCTTTTAAAATAGTCACTACCTATAAGAGTGGTGGCAGACATCTCTCTTCAGTTTCCTCCTAGATCTAAACATAAAGCCATAGCAACTGCAGCAAGAACTCCAGCCAACAGCATTATTTTCCTACTCCCAGAAAATGTCTAGTTTCTCCAGAGACATGAGGAAGTGGAAAAACATGGCAGCAGGCCTCTTGCTCAAGCTGGCAAAAATATTTTTAACACAGAAGCAGCAGGGCAGGAAAAAAGAGCAAAAACAAATCCACCTGTTCTTATCCTGACAGACAGCTGATTTCAAAAGGACCAATTCAGTTCTCCCACTAAAAAGACCCCCAAATGGCAATGAATTAGGGCTATCTTTTTGAGACAGTGCTTAAGTTGAATTACAGTCAGACTCCAATTTTGCATGACCACCAGGAAAACAAAGGCATAATGCAGGGGTGGCCAAACTGAGGCTCAGGAGCCTCATGTGAAAGTTTGAGTTTATTTTGTGGCTTGCAGCTCACAACTCACTCACTACCTATAGGGCCCGCAGGCACCTGCTTGCCATCCACCACTGCTGCCTGCAGATGTCTGCTTGCCACTTGCTGCTGCTACCCATGGGCACCCACTTCCTTTGAGCTAGTCTGGCCACCCCTGCCATACTGGCTTCTTTTCTCCATGATTGCACCACACAATTTACTTAATTATCCTCATGGTGCAAACATGGTTCAAACCATGCACTGTGAGAATAATTTGGGAAGTTGTCCAGCACATGACCAACATATACAGTGATCATGTGAGACTGGCCTCACAATATCATAAACCATGATGGCTTATAAACCAGGGTAGACTGTTGCCTGGTCTGAAAACTCCAGCACACATTTTTAACTAGTCTGGGTGCTTCAAATAACACAGCATGCCATCTCTGATATATCTAAGTCAACTTGACTTAATGTGTTGTATGAGCCCAGTCAATATAAGTTACATTTAAAGACACCATCTTTAGGCTTAGTACAAGCCATAACTGGTGGGGAAACCCCTCTAGGGACAAGCAAATGTAGAAAACATCCTATAAATATAAATGTTGTTCCATTAGAAAAAATCCAAAAGATAGAGAACAGTTAAGAGTTCCTTTTTTTCTTTTCTTTTCTTTTCTTTTCTTTTCTTCTTTTTCTTTTTCTTTTTTTTTTTTTTTTTTTGCTACCTCTGCATGGATCACTGCCATGTCATGGTGAAGGGGCTTGTGTAGTCCAATGAAGTTATGAGCTATGCCATGCAGGGGCACCTAAGATGGACAGGTTATAGCAGAGAGCTCTGACAAAAGGGGATCCACTGGAGAAGGAAATGGCAAACCCACTCCAGTATCCTTGCCATGAAAACCCCATAGACAGTTCCAAAAGTCAAAGGGATATGACGCTGGAAGATGAGCCCGTCAGGTCAGAAGTTGTCCAATGTGCTACTGAAGAAGAGAAGAGGAGTAGAACAAGTAGCTCCAGAAAGAATGAAGCAACTGGGTCAAAGCCGAAAAGACATTCAGTTGTGGATTCATGTGGTGGTGAAAGGAAAGTCTGATGCTGTAAAGAACAATGCTGCATAGGAACCTGGAATGTAAGCTCTGTGAATCAAGGTAAGCTGGATGTGGTCATATGAGATGACAAGACTGAACATCGACACTTTGGGAATAAGTGAAAATGGACAGGAATGGGTGAATTTAATTCAGATGACCATCAGGTATACTACTGTGGGCAAGAATCCTTCAGAAGAAATGGAGAGCCGTCATGGTCAATAAAAGAGTAGAAAAAGCAATACTGGGATACAATCTCCAAAATGACAGAATGATCTCAGTTCAAATCCAAGGCAAGCCATTCAACATCACTGTAGTCCAAATCTATGCCCCAACCACTGATGCCAAAGAGGCTGCAGTGGATTGGTTCTATGAAGACCTACAACACCTTCTAGAAATAACACCAAAAAATGATATCCTCATCATCATCGGGGATTGGAATGCTAAAGTAGGAACCCAAAAGATAACCGGAATAACAGGCAAGTTTGGCCTTGGAGTACAAACTGAAGTAGGGCAAAGGCTAGCAGAGTTTTGTCAGGAGAACACGCTGGTCACAGGAAACACTCTTTTCCAACAACCCAAGAGATGACTCCACACATGGACCTCACCAGATTGTCAACATAGAAATTGTTGACTATGTGCTCTGCAGCCAAGATGGAGAAAACTGTATGCAGTCAGTAAAAATAAGACCAGGAGCTGACTGTGGCTCAGATTATGAGCTTCTTGTTGCAAAGTTCAGGCTTAAATTGAAGAAAGTAGGGAAAACCACTAGGCAACTCAGGCGTGAGCTAAATCACATTTCTTATGAATATACAGTAGAGGTGACAAATAGATTTAAGGAATTACATCTGGTGGGCAAGCGAATGCAGGCAGACGCGCGCGGCCACGACGTCGATGGCAGCCAGCTCCAGCGGCCAGCGCAGGCGCACGCGGCGCCAGAGAGCGCCGCCCGCCGGCCCAGGTGATCGGGCGCGCGCAGTGCGCGACGGGGCGGGACTCGGAGGCGCCCTGCGGACACAAAGCAGCGGCCGGGGCTGAAGGGCCGGCGGCCGAAGGGGGTCGCCGCCGTTTGGGTACCGTTCGGGGGACGAGAGGGGGGCTGGGCTGGCCAAGGACTCTTGTTGAAATAGGCTTGCCTACTGCTGAATCCTAGGGAAGGGGAAGGATTTTTTTTTTATTTTTTTCCCCCCTTTCTTTTTCTTTTTATCGTTCTTTTTTCTCCTCCTTCAACCTACTTTATAATTTTACCCTGCTTTAATCAGTGCTTTGAGTCATCCCTGGCCATGTCAACGTTTATATATCCTGGGGAACACACGGGCGCTGCTATTGGCGTGGTCACGGGCAATGGTCGTTACAGCAATAGGGGCTTAACGTGTCCACGTAGAAGAAGGATGGACAGATGGCTGACACCTATCCCTCCTTCTGGTTCTGCCCCCAACCAGAGGGCGCCAGGTAGCCTTGTCAACCACCCCTCGGGCCTGACGGTGCTGCTGCTCAATGCCAGGTCGGTCAATAATAAATCTTCCCTCATCCATGACTTGATTGTGGATGAGGGGGCCGACCTGGCTTGCATAATGGAGACCTGGGCGGGAGAGGGAGGGGATGTTGCCCTCTCCCAATTGTGCCCGCCCGGGTATCTGGTTCAACACTGTTCATGCCCAGAAGCGAGGGGAGGGGGAGTCGCGTTGGTTTACCGAGCCTCTTTCACGGGTCTTCCGGTCCCTTCGAGACCAGGGCTGGAGTGCCTCTACTTGGTGTTGGGCGAACGAGACAGACTGGGGATTCTGTTGGTGTACCGTGCACCCTTCTGCCCAGCAGTCTCCCTATCTGAGCTGACAGAGACCGTCTCGGACCTGGTGTTGAGGACCCCCAGGATGTTGGTCCTGGGGGACTTCAATCTCCATGCCGAGTCTGGACTGACCGGGGCGGCTCAGGACTTCATGGCCTCTATGACGGCCATGGGCCTGTCTCAACACGTCATCGGCCCAACCCATGAACGTGGACACACTCTGGACCTGGTATTCACAACAGGGCAGGAAGAGGATGACCTGAGGGTGAGGAACTTATGTTTGACTCCCCTGTCATGGTCAGATCACCTCCTGGTGAGGTTTGTGCTCGAGAGCGGCCTCTCCCTCTATAAGTGTGCGGACCCGATTGTATGGGCCCGCCCCCGGAGCCGGATGGATCCGGATGGATTCCTGAAGGCCCTGGGGGAGTTTCCGGCTGACAAGACTGGTGCTCCTGTCGAGGCTCTGGTCGAACTGTGGAACGGAGAGATGACCAGGGCTGTGGACACGATCGCTCCCAAGCGTCCTCTCCCACCGGGCAGAGTCCGCTCTTTCCCTTGGTATACACCTGAATTGCGGGCGATGAAGCGGGTTGGGAGACAACTAGAGCATAGGTGGAGGAAATCACGGGATGAATCTGACCGAACACACTTGAGAGCCCACTATCGGGCCTATGCTGTGGCGGTGAAGGCGGCGAAAAATAAGTTTTTTTCCGCTTCCATTGCCTCCTCACAATGCCGTCCGGCGGAGCTTTTTCAAGTGGTACAAGGCCTGGTTCGCCCGGGTCCTAAGGAAGATCCGATGCCACCCTCAAAGGCCCGCTGTGACGACTTTGCCAGGCATTTCAGGGAGAAAATTGTTCAGATTCGTCACGAGCTGGACTCCACTAATGAATCAGAGGTCTCTGGGGAGACGCCAATGCTACTGTCTGGTCCAAAATTATTGGAGGAATTTCAATTATTGCGGCCCGATGATGTGGACAAGGTGCTTGGACGAGTACGTCCCACCACTTGCCTATTGGATCCTTGCCCGTCTTGGTTAATAAATAACTCCAAGCACGGGATTGGGACCTGGATCTTGGAAGTGGTTAACGCTTCTCTGAGGGAGGGTCGAGTGCCTGCCCCTTTAAAGGAGGCGGTAATACGACCGGTCCTGAAGAAAGTGTCACTGGATCCAGAGATGACCACTAACTATAGACCTGTGGCCAACATCCCGTTTCTGGGCAAGGTGTTGGAGCGAGTGGTGGCGGGACAACTCCAAGCACTCTTGGATGAAACTGATTATCTGGATCCTTTTCAGTCCGGCTTCAGACCCGGGTACAGTACTGAATCTGCCTTGGTCGCCCTGTACGATGACCTGTGCAGGGAGAAGGACAGGGGGAGTGCATCCCTGTTGGTTCTTCTGGACCTCTCGGTGGCTTTCGATACCATCATCCATGGTATCCTTCTGGATAGGCTAGCGGGATTGGGGGTTGGAGGCACTGCTTTGCAGTGGTTCCGCTCCTATCTCAACGGTCGATTCCAGAAGGTAGTGCTGGGGGACCATGTCTCTATGTCATGGCAGCTATGCCATGGAGTACCACAGGGCTCCATTCTATCCCCTCTGCTATTTAACATCTATATGAAACCGCTGGGAGAGGTCATCAGGAGGTGTGGGCTGCGGAATCATCAATACGCTGATGATACCCAGCTCTCCCTCTCGTTTTCCACTAATCCAGGTGAGGCAGTGGCTGTGCTGAACCGGTGCTTGGCCAAGGTAATGGAATGGATGAGGGCCAATAAACTGAAACTCAACCCAGACAAGACGGAGGACATGTTGGTTGGCGGATCGGGCTTCAGAGAGGGTGGATTTGACCTGGTCCTGAATGGTGCAACACTCCCTCTTAGGGATAAGGTCTGCAGCTTAGGAGTACTCCTCGACCCGGAGCTTTCTTTGGAAGCGCAGGTGACAGCAGTGGCGAGGAGCGCCTTCCTTCAGCTTCAGCTGATTAATCAGCTGCGCCCCTACCTGGAGTACGACTGCCTGGCAACGGTGACACACGCGCTGGTGACTTCGCGCCTAGACTTCTGTAACGCGCTTTACGTGGGGCTTCCCCTGAAGACAGTCCGAACACTTCAATTGGTGCAAAATAGAGCTGCCAGGTTGCTGACGGGGACAGGGAGTTATGCTCACATGACTCCAGTCCTCTGTCAGCTTCACTGGCTTCCCATTGAATCCCGGGCCCAATTCAAGGTGTTGATTATGACCTATAAAGCCCTAAACGGCTTGGGTCCTGGCTACCTGAATGAGCGCTTACGTCCGTATATGCCCGACCGCCCTTTGAGATCTGCGGGAGAGTCCCTTCTCCGGGAACCCTCCATGAAAGAAATTAGGAGAGTAAGTACTCGGAGGAGGGCTTTCTCTGCAGTGGCGCCCAACCTATGGAATTCACTCCCCAAAGAGGTCCGCCTGGCACCGTCGTTACTGGTTTTTCGGCGCCAGGTAAAGACCTTTTTATTTAAACATCATTTTAATTGTTAAAACATATGATCTGGCCAGGGCAACTTCTTCTTCCTTCTCTTTTCTCCTCCTATATTATTTATTTACTTATTTTATACTGATAATTTTAATTTTATATTATTATGTTTGTAACTCAGTGTATTTTTGTATTTTTGTATTTAATGGTAATTTATTATGTTCTATTGTATTTCAATGTATTTTATTGTGTTGTAAGCCGCCCGAGGCTTCGGCAAGGGGCAGCATAGAAATGTAATAATAATAAGAATAAGAATAAGAATAAGAATAAGAATAAGAATAATAGACAGAGTGCCTGAAGAACTATGGACGGAGGTTTGCAACACTGTACAAGAGGTAGCAACTAAAACCATCCCAAAGAAAAAGAAATGCAAGAAAGAAAAATGGCTGTCTGAGAAAGCTTTACAAATAGCTGAGGAAAGAAGGGAAGCAAAAAGCAAGGGAGAAAGGGAAAGAGACCCAATTGAATGCAGAATTCCAGAGAATAGCTAGAAGAAATGAGAAGGTGAATGGACTTAAATGAACAGTGCAAAGAAATAGAGGAAATCAACAGAATGGGAAAGACTAGAGATATCTTCAAGAAAACTGGAGTTATGAAGGGAACGTTTCATGCAAAAATGGGCATGATAAAGCACAAATATGGCAGCGACCTAACAGAGGCAGAAGAGATTAACAAGAGGTGGCAAGATTGCACAGAAGAACTATACAAGAAAGATCTTAATGTCCCTGTTAACTATAATGGGGTGGTCGCTGATCTTGAGCTAGACATCCCGAAATGCAAAGGCAAATGGACATTAGGAAGTCTTAGGAACAACAAAGCTAGTGGAGGAGATGATATTCCAGCTGAGCTATTCAAAATCCTAAAAGATGATGCAGTTAAAGTGCTACACTCAATACACCAGCAAATTTCAAAAACTCAGCAGTGGCTGCAGGATTGGAAAAGGTCAGTTTACATTCCAATCCCAAAGAAGGGCAATTCCAAAGAATGTTCAAAATACTGTACCACTGCACTCATTTCACATGCTAGCAAAGTTATGCTCAAAATCCTACAAGGTAGACTCCAGCAGTATGTGGATCGAGAACTACCAGAAGTACAGGCAGGGTTTTGAAGAGGCAGAGGAACTAGAGATCAAATTGCCAACATACAATCATGTTCATGTTCATGATCATACAATCATGATCATGCAGAAAGCTAGGGAGTTCCAGAAAAATATCTACTTCTGCTTCATTGACTATGCTAAAGCCTTTGATTGTGTGGATCACAACAAATTGTGGCAAGTTCTTAAAGAGAGGGCAGTACCAGGCCATCTTGTCTCTTGAGAAACCTGTATGCGGGTCAAGGAGCAACAGGGAGAACTGGACATAGTAACTACTGATTGGTTCAGAATTGGGAAAGGAGTACGGCAAGGCTGCATACTGTCGCCCTGCCTATTTAACTTATATGCAGAGCACATCATGCAAAGGCCAGGCTAGATGAATCACAAGTTGGAATTAAGATTGGCAGGTGAAATATCAACAACCTCAGATACACAGATGACCCCACTCTAATGGAAGAAAGTGAAGGGGAACTAAAGAGCCTCTTGATGTGGGTGAAAGAGGAGAGCACAAAAGTTGGCTTGAAGCTCAACATTAAAAAAACTAAGATCATGGTATCCAGTCCTATCACTTCCTGGCAAATAGATGGGGAGGCCATGGAGATAGTGACAGATTTTATTTTCTTGTGCTCCAAGATCACTGCTGACAGGGACTGCTTGCTCTTCAGGAGGAATGCTATGGCAAATCTAGACAGCATACTAAAAAGCAGCAATAGCCAGCAATAGCTCATATAGTCAAAGCCATGGTTTACCTGGTTGTAATGTATAGCTGTGAAAGTTGGACCATAAGGAAGGCTGAGCACTGAGGAATTGATACCTTTGAATTGTGGTGCTGGAAAAGACTTCTGTGAGTCCCTTGGACTGCAAGGAGATCAAACCAGTTAATCGTAAAGGAAATCAATCCTGAATGGCTCTTTAGAAGGCCAGATACTGAAGATGACATACTTTGCCCACCTAATAAGAAGGAACAACTCAAAGGAGAAGACCCTGACGCTGGGAACGATTGATGGCAAAAGGCGAAGGGGACAGCAGAGGTTGAGGTGGCTAGATAGAGTCACTGGGGCGGTGGGTATGAGCTTGGGTGGACTCCGAGGGATGGTGAAGGACAGGAGAGCCTGGAGGAATGTTGGCCATGGGGTCATAATGGGTCGGGCATTACTTTGTTACTGAACAACAAAGAGATACATCATTTATATTAACATACCTAGAAGGAATTGAGGAACCACTAAAGTATGATGATTCTTAAACTGAAAACTCAAAAATGTATCCATGACTTTGTGACAGTTTATTGGTCCTAATAAATCTACTTCCAAATCCATAGCTTACAGAAAATAAAAAAGTGGTCTTTGTATAACTATGCAGAACTTCAACAAAAGCAAATATTAAATAAGAAGAAGAATATTTCCTAATAAATCAAACTTGAAATTCTGTTCAACAAACTGTTATTTTACTGTGCAATCCTATGCATGATTTTTCACAAGTATGTCTCATTAATTTCAGTGGGATTTACTTTCAGGTTAACTATGTAGGATTACAGACAAATATAAAAACTTTATTACCTATGGCAAACAATATCTGCAGGTTGAAATGTGGGTGCTAAAGGAATTCCTCTGTCATCAACTGTCCAAGATAAGGAATATATTAATTTTCCTGATGTCAGAATACACAGTTCTTCTGATTCATTTTCATCAAGAACAAAATGAACATCTGCAGCAAACATAATTGAAATGAATATTTTAGACTAAATAAAAAGTCACTTATAAAATTCAGCATCCAGCATTTATGCACAATGGTGAGAGTTAATGCATATATGAAAGTTAATCAACAGTAGGGTTAACATCCTCAAATATCCCCACTGCTATCTTTTGTTAAAGAGAGTAGTTTGAGAATAATTGCTGGTAACAATGAATGAATTGCTGGTAACAGAATGAATGGAGGAATGGTTTACAACAGAGCACAGAATGGAACCGTAAGTTAAAAGTCAGAGAAGTCATTGACAATAAAATTGTTGAATTGGTTGGTGAAACAATAATTTATTAATAGTTGTCAGATGACTATTCATTCTGAATGTTAATATGTTCCAAAAATAAATGTGCTTAATCTTTTAACGTCTTACCTAATATGCCAGCTTTGAAGTACAGGTAGTACCCGGGTATGATCATGTTGAAGGAGGTGAACATTAATCCCCCTACACTCCATTGCTTCCTTCACCATGAGCAGTCTTAGCCTGTACAGCAATGCTTTTAATGGTCCTTCGTATATAAACAACAGGGCCACCTGGCTGGTTCTTACAAAGGGTGAGCTGAAAAGGGAGCCATCAGTTTAACTTCAGCTATGTTCCTGACTGACCCAGCTAGGGCAGGAAGCAGCGTCTTCCCCACTGCCCACCAACACTCTTAGGGGTCACAGTTTCTCTGGGGACCTGGCTTTCGCATTGATAATCTCCTTCTCTGCTGACCTCTTCCCCTACATGCACAAAGAGGGACAATTTCCCTTCATCTCACCAAACCTTGACAGGTCATTCCTTCCCCATGCAGACACTCCTTTTCCCAGAGAAGCAAGATGAGTTCTGTCTCTTTCCTAATCTGTAGTGGTGAGGCTCCTTTCCTGCCCCCAAGGTCTCATTCTACTGCCTCCGTTTTCTTGCTGTTGCTTTCCCCTCTCTTCCTCCATCAACTGGGGACATCAGAGGGGGGATTAGAGGACTATTTTTTTCCTCATGGAATACCAAATTTATATTAAACTATATCCTAACACATGACTGTAGTTTGAGATCAAAGCCTTCTAAATTGACACATTAACCCACAGAAGATTATGTATTCCGTCTTCAAGATCAGCTATTTCCAACTTCACTTGCCTATCATCGTAGCATGTTGTTTGGTATAAATGGCTTGAATCCAATTCAGAAAGCTTGAGCCACAATCTAAACAGAGAGCTGGAGAGTTTTCATTAAAAAGGGCCAAGACACATTATCAAAAGCTTTCTCCACATCTAAAAAGATGCAGCTTCCTCCTCCTCCTACCATTCAATTACATTGATCACAAAATGTATATTATTATCTTTCACATTCCTTTTAGAGACAAATCCAGTTTAATCTGTATAAATCTGTTTTTCTATACATTATCTTAATCTCTCTGCCATTATTGAAGTAAAAAATTGTAATCAACATTTAATGATGAAATAGGTCGGTAAGAATGTGGTAACATCGGATTGAACTCATTCAGAAAGAGAGGACAACTTCCTAGCTTATGTGACTGTAATTGTAATACTGTGTAGAATAAAGACTTCTGTAGCATCAACTGGATTGCTTTCGTTGGGACGGAGCGCAGCCTCACAACAGTTATGCCATTGTCTTCTATTTCTTTCTTAAGACAATACGCTAGGTAGCTTCCAGGTTTGTTTGCATGTTTGAAATTATTTTGTTTTAAAAATCAATTATTTTAGTTCTTGTTTTTAAAATCTTAGCTTCCTTTGTAACTCCTCTGTCTCTATCATGTCTAACTGATTTCTTAATTGCCTAAGTTCAGTTAAAATTAATTTGTCTTGGGTATTTTTTTTTGTGATGATCCTCTAATATTCAAATTAACTTCAGAAGTCTCTTTTTTGTGCTGCCTTTTCTCTCTTTTTCTTGGACATAATTTCTAAAATATGTCCTCTCATATAAGCTTTACTGCCCTCCCATATTGTGGCTATAGAGACATCATTTTCATTATTTAATCTAAAAAAATTCTTCCAGTGCTACTTCTGACTTTTTCAAAATACATTCTTGCAACAAAAAGTTATTATTAATTCTCCATCTTCTTCCTCCCACTTGTTCTTCCTGCCATATTATCTCCAATGAGTTGTGTTCAGAAAGTGTCTTAGGTCGGATCTTTACAGCCTCTAGATTCATAATTAAGTTTTTAGATATCCAGTACATATCAAATCTTGAGGATGTCTGGTATCTAACAGAAATAAAGTATACTCTCTAGCACCAGCATTTTTAAATCTCCTTGCATCTTCTGGCTGCAACATTTCTATATAATTAAAAACATTTTACATAATTTGCCACCTCTTACTTTTTTGGACTTATCTTTGTTACAGTCTATAACTCCATTCATATCACCATATAATCAAAACTTCACCTTCTTGGAAATCCAATATCAGCTGAAATATTTTTTCATAGAACTTTTCTTCTACATAATTTGTGGCATAAATTGTTGTCAATGTAATTATCTTTTCATCCAGAAATCTTATCTTCAGAACCTTCTGGGTCTCTCAATTCTTCTACAACTTTTAAACCTTGATTATTAATGTAAATGGTGACTGCTTTCTTTTTAAGGTCCACTGAAGCGTCATACACTTTACCCAGCCGCTTGAGATTCAAAATATGAGCAAATATTTTTGTTTATGTGAGTTTCTTGAATACAAATAATATCTGCCTTTTGTATTCTTAAAAACTAAAACTTTAGTTCTCTTGGAAGGAGAGTTCAATCCATTAATGTTTATTGATAAGAACTTCATTTTGTTATTAAATTTTCCAGAACCCTATTTAGATTTTCCTTCTCACATTAATTCTTCTCTCTCCTTCTCCTTTGCTCCTTCACATATCTGCCTTTCCCATTTCTTCATAACTGTAAATAAACTCACAATTTAACACTACAGTTTAAAGCAGAACAGTTAAGTGAGGAGGAGGAACCAGGAAAGAAAGAAAGAAAAGAAACAGAGAAGAAAAAATGAGTGAGAAAAAGCAAGAGACAAAGGTAGATAAAGTCAATTAGTCAGCTTTCTATCAATGTTAGAATTATTAATTCCATTCCATCTCTATTAAAATATTAGTTTCGATTGATTTGTTTAAAAGAGACATTGTTCAGACATTGTTTTCTTAGCAGGGGGCTTTGACTTTCAATTTTCTCCAAGTCCAACAAGTGGTGCAGATGGTCTCCAACTCATTTTGTTGCTGTGCCATGTTCCATTCTTTGTTCTCTTCTCAAGCACAAAAGCCAGGGAGAGCAGGAAAATCAGAAAAAATCATGGCCTCCACAAGTACAGGGAGATATAGTTGTCCTTTGTAACAAATCATATATAAATCCAATCAAAAGCAACAACAAAAACTTACCCGACTCAAAAAACTGGCAACTCCCTCAGAAAATGACAATGGAGGAAGGAAAATGGTCTTCTGTTCCATCACACCTTCAGCCAAGGTCAGTTTGTAATGTCCATAATTCAAAATTTGTTAAATAAGGATATCAGACAGTTTGTAAATGCTAGATCAAGGTCTTACTAAAGTTCAAACAAGACGTTAAAAAAATACTCCTTTCCAAATAGGTAAACAAAAATGCCTTAAGAATCTGAATCACTGCCAAAATCTCAGCCTCAAGTGTGAGCTGTCCAGAAAGCAGTTTTCCTTCATCTCAATTAAAAAGCCATGAAATGAACACAAAAATACCCACAGCTAGTATTCTCATGCCAAGATTAGCTTGTAATTCTTAGTTCTAAAGTAGAAACATTAAACAGCTTTGCAAATGGGATATCCTTAATCATCAAAAGATTATCCATTCCAGAGTCCTTTCAGAATATGCAAACAAAAATGCCTTAAGAATCCAAGTTGCAGCAAGTTAGAATATTATTCCCTTGGCAAAGAAAATGAAGTAATGTAAAAAGAAATAGTACAAAGTGTAAAAAACAGGAAGAAGAGGAGAGAAAAGGAGTATATGTGTTGGGGGGGAGTGTTGACTTTTTAACTTGTTCCAGTTTACCTTATCTGGACATCTTGCTGTAATCAGAGCTGTAGATCAAGAGTCTTCACACCCACCTGTCATTTAGAGGCTTCAAAGACGATTTATAATCATCTAAACAAGATAAGGCTGAACACAGCTATTTCACTGCTGCGTCTTCAAGAAGCCATTCCCCAAAAGTCTCCTTCACTGAAGCATCTTAAGTACAATACAACCTTGTAATAACCACCCCAACACGCCAATAAGGGAATGGTATATAAAAGTTTTAAATACATAAATGATGATGATGATGATAATAAAAGTAACTACACAGTAATAATAAAGTGTATTCTGAAGACAGAGAGGATCTGTATATATGTGTGTAGGTGTACAGTATTGTTAAAAAAAAGAAAAGAAAACAAACAGTTCTTAAAATAGCTTAGAAGATTCTTGAGGTAACATTAACTAAAGAAGATGAAGATGAACCTGGTGCTGGAAAGTCAGGGTTTGATTTTGCTGCTGGGGTTGGGGGTTCCCACTGCAGTCGCTTCTTTAAAGTATGCATCAAGGGTTGTTTGGTACAGTAATTTTCTTTTTCTTACCATATATGGCCTTGTAGCTGAGGACCTTGTTCCAATGGCAAATGCTAAAAGAAAAATCAAAGGGGAACTACAAACCCTACAAATGCCCTGAAACACACTGGTGTGGTTACGCTTGAGTGGACACCCAGAAAAGCAATGACTACTGTATCTTTAGGGAACTAGGATACCTCTGATGTTATGTCACCAAATGCAACATGTAGTTCCCTAAAGATAAGTAGTTCTGGACAGACTATGGAAGTGGGCAGGAGACAACAGGATGGCGTTCAATGTGGGTAAGTGCAAGGTCTTGCACTTGGGGCATTGGAATAGCTGTCATAAGTACAGGTTAGGTGACAAGTGGCTGGAGAGCAGCACTTGTGCAAGGGACCTCGGGGTACTGGTTGACTGCAGGCTAAACATGAGTCAGCAC